CTGTGTGGAAGCCAGTGTCAGTAACAGGGGCTGTTCTTCTGGGCATCTACAGACTGGTGTTCACATGGTTACCATGGAACTGGAACCAGAGACCAGTGTGCTGCTGGGTCCTGAAGTACTGCAGTCAACATGTGTCTGCAGTCGAGTGCTTTCATTTAAGGAGAACAAACGTATTGGACTCAGGGTTCAGAATTAAAGCCACTTTTATAAACAAGAACTCCATTTTCAGACACTAAAAATGGGAAAACATCATTTTCAATGTAGGTTCTTGTTTGTTTGGTAGTTAACGACTCCAGAAACCATGAACATAAAAATTCTTTGTTTCTTCTGTACAGATGCCCTGTTGGGCTCAGATAAGTGAGGAACTTTCCATCTCTTTGGAAAGTCTTGGATGTTTTTGCAGTATGCTTTGATTCGTAACCTGATGTAGTAAACCTGTCTCTGCCAACCCAGGGAAAGATGGTCTCCATTGAGTGGTCTTCCTTTTGTCCTGTTAATGCTGCTGAACTGATGAGTGTTAACTTCTGGTAAGATTGGACCGAATGGTTGATTTGGTCGTTCTTGCAGATGCTGCTAACTCCCTGATGGAATAATGATGAATCCTCATGTCCAGAGTCCAAGAGTTAGGCGAACCTTCTGAGACAGGCTAAGAAAAGATGGAGGACAGTAATGTCTTCAGTTATTAGTATGGACGAGTCACTGTGTATGTACACACACTAATAATCCCTGTTTTTAAACCGTGCTAAGGTCCAAACTGCAGGCTCAACACCGGCTCTTGGATGCTGAACTAATGTAATCAGCTGGTCTGTGTGTCGTTCAGTGGTGGGGAGCTGGTTTCCTACTGGTGCACATGGGAATCCCCTGAGTGGAGGAAACTGGAGTTATCAGTGTTTCGTCAGGGTCACAATCAGCAAACGTAAAACAAAATGTGTGATTCAGTGTAATGAATATAGGAAAGCTCACCTTTCATATAAAAAAGCCTTTTCGTATTTATGCAGATGCACTTGTTTGTCTCACTTTATTAAAGCCATTCTGGTTTTAATCAACGAGTGCTGTAGCTGTAACCAAGGCCACATTTCCGCCACTGTAAACTGGATAAACTGGAACCACACAGCAGTTTATATAAGTTAGTGAACCTGAGTGATGCAGCTCTGTGATCCTGCTAACACATGTCAGTGATTTCTTTATTTAGCTGGTTTAGAAATAACGGAGGCTGGATGTGATTCATGAACCTGACTGAAAAATGCTGATACATGCATCATGGAGCTCAGTTTGTCTACTATTAGAATGAGTTTGATGAATTATTTGGACCCAAGAATCAGACTGAAATGCAAAGTTTACACAGTGATATTAAGACGAGCGTGGTGAAGAGAACGACAGTGGCAGTCAGGCAGGTTTCCAGTTAGTGTGGGTGTGTGGATCTCTTACTTATGTTCTGGATGAAGACACCTGTGTAAAGCTTATTGAGGGCGTGGGCTGCTGTCCAGTGGAAACTGGCCTGTAGAGGTGGAGAGCAGGAGGCTGGTGAGAATGAAAGTGAGCAGCATCAGGAACGATGAACAGTGATCTGATTCAGACGAGCAGATGGAGGAACAGCTCCACCCAGGAGCACAGAGCAGGTGACGGCCGCCCATCAGTCCACCTGAAGCAGAGGACCAGAGAAAAAGAGCCTGGCCACCTCGAGGAGCAAACAGACGAACGGCAGGCTGAAGTTAGCTCGATAAAGACTCAGTGTGCTGACTTCATGGTATGCACTGAGTTAATACTGGTTAAATATTAGATATGTTAATTCATCAGTTTCCCTGTGCAGAGCTGTGTTTTTGGAAAAGCTCGTCCAGTTTGGGATAAATGATATTTTGGCTTGTAGCTAATCACTGTTGAGGCTGGCACAGGAGGGTCAGTGTACACTGGCTTAACAGTCAGTCAGTGAAATCACTGTAGAGGGAGAACTATAGTCAAAACTAAAGCAATAACCTCACTTCCTGTTTTATTTTGATAGTCTCTGTCTCCGTTTCCCCTTAGTTTGAGCCGTGTTCCCACCTGTGGTCTGGTTATCCTCAGTGTGTTCGTGTCCTCAGCCGCCCTCTGCTCATGTTTCCTTAGTAGTTTCCTTTCCTAGTTTCTTCCTGGTTGCAATTTTTTGCATTTCCTTTGAGCCTGTGGGGATGGCTGTCTGTCTCCGAGTGCTGCTCCAGTACACGGCCATAGACTGGTAGAAATAAACAGCTGTGGTTTTAATGAGAGGACAGTCTCAGCTTGGACGACTTGGTACGAAAATTGAGAAATGATTTAGTGTGAATAGTTGATATCACTGTGTCGTGGTTGGATACGTGTTTGATGACCGGTGTTTCTAATCTCACGTCAGCCTGACAGAGGCTCAGTGACTCACTCAGCCTGAGACACTGTTAGAGACACATGGTTTTTCTAGGACACACACTCACCCTTCTCCTCCTTCAGATCAATAATCTATTTTATCTTTTGTAAGTGGAAAAGCCCGTGGTCACGGTCTTCTGGGAGGAGCGCTCTTTTTATTTTTGCTAACTGGGTTGGAAATAAACCTTTAAGTAACACAGCAGTTGTCTGATCCATCCAGAATTTGGGTCACGTCGCCCTTCGGATAAGAAAATGTTGTATTAAAAGCTGATGATTGAAGCTGTTTTGAACCTCTCTGACCGTTCTGCAGGAAACACATGATTAGAGCTTTGAGAGCACAACAGAGCCCAGAGGGCCCAGAGGGCTCTGTTGTGCTTGGATTTATGCATGTTTGAAGCTTTTTCCTCTCTGACAGATCTGATGAGTTTCTCCAGGTAGAGCTGATGAGTTAGGAGGCTCATGAAAAAACTGAAAGGGAGGAGTTTATGTGCTAAAAACAAGGAGCATGAATCAGAGTGATGGGAACCTGTTACCTGTTAGGTTTGCACCTGTGCAGCTGTTGTACATCATTACCAATGTGGGCAAAGTCCAAATCTTTAAGGAAACGCAGTCTGAATAAGGAACAGGAAGTGTTTGTCTTACATAAACTGGTTATCGCTGTCAGCTAACACCAACCTTGTTACTGATTTACTGCAGCGCTGCTGGTCACGTGTTTTGCTCTGTGTTCTACTAACTGTTCTCGGTTCTCTTTCCAAGTCTAAAGACAAGAACGTTCCTACACTGGAAGCCAAGGTTTCAATGAAGAGATGCTTAAACCAGTATAGACACAACCATGTTAGACACTGACCACAGCTCTGCAGGAGGATTATTCCACAAGGCCTGGTTATTGTCTGTGTCCGCTAGTAAGCAGCAGTTTTGTTCTACAGGTGAAACGTGTGTAGTGTGACTGTAGATGCACAATCACAGCATTGCCAGCTGAGGTCTGTAGTGAGTTTGCATTGTTTTAAAGAACTCTTGAACTGGAGATCAACACCCATACACACATTACACACTGCCTTTAATTACTGGAGCCTGACAAACTGAACACACCTGAGTGTGACAGGATTTGAGGACACCTGATACACCTGAACAGTTCTACCTGTAGATCTGACTGACAGTAATAATGATGCCTACTGCTGACTGTGCCTGATATTTAAAAACAAGCTTCATTTATTATTCTGCTCACTGTAAAAATGAATAAATAATCCAGTGTTACAACATTGATTGTCAAACATGATGAAACACACCTGTTAAAGATGGTGGTGTATGATACCGCTGACAGAGGCCAGTTGTCACAGTCAGAGTAATCAGACTAAAGCTGTGCTGTGAAGGAAGTTGTTGTGAGTTAGTGACACACTGTTTCCTCTCCAGCTCGCAGGTGTGAGTTTGAGAGTTATTCCAGTACTTCTGATGTGAGGTTTTCTATTTGAGAGGAACCACAGTATGCAGAGTGGTACACAGTGTTAATGCTGTGCGTCTGTATGTAGTGACAGATGACAGTGAAGGAATTATAGCCTTACATTCACAGAGCGTTCAGACAGACATGTGATGAAATACACACCCCATTGCTCCTACTCTTTCACATTGTATTATAAATATTGTTTGACAGTTACTTTATAATTGTGTTGTGTAGATTCAGAAACATGTTGTTAGGTGTGAGGTGGTACTGTGCTCCTGCTCATCGCATACAGCTGACTATTTGTTCAGTTGTTGGTTTTTCAGCTTTAGTCAGAAACACAACAGATTTAAACACAAATAACTGTCATCCTGTTACCCCATCTAATACACTGTTACAAACTGGCAGGACTGATGACCCACATTACTGTTAACAGATGGTCACTCAATGCTACCTTAATGACAGCTTAACAGATAGCTAATATTGGGTAATGATAACTTTGGCTGCATCCCTGTCTGATGGATCAGATGGATCTGCTTTTTCCATCTGACAAAGCTTTGACGCTGGATGTGCTTCCTGGTGCAACCCTCCCAGTTATCTGGGCTTGGGACCAGCACTGGGAGAACACTAGCTTGTGTCTTTCCGAGCTAGCTAATAGCTATTGGGTAATTGCTAATAGCTGAGCAGCTAACATTACTGTGTGTGCTAGCCAGGCAGCTTTACTGCCACCTTGAGACAAAGTGTTGTGAAGCTCAGCTGCTTCAGGTGATGGTGAGGTGGTTTGCAGCTGGAGCACCACAAACACTGTTGATACTGATGGTGTCACAACTGATCATAATTGTGAGTAACTGAAAGTCAATATTTTGTTCTCATAACCCTGACTTCCAAACAAAACTTTGCTGTAATTGCTGGGGCGATCGTGGCTCAAGAGTTGGGAGTTCGCCTTAGTAATCGGAAGGTTGCCGGTTCGAGCCCCAGCTTGGACAGTCTCGGTCGTTGTGTCCTTGGGCAAGACACTTCACCCGCTACTGGTGGTGGTCAGAGGGCCCGGTGGCGCCAGTGTTGGCATCCTCGCCTCTGTCAGTGCGCCCCAGGGTGGCTGTGGCTACAATGTAGCTGACATCACCAGTGTGTGAATGGGTGGATGACTGGTTGTGTAAAGCGCTTTGAGGTCCTTAGGGACTAGTAGAAGCGCTATACAAATACAGGCCATTTACCATGTAATTTAATAAAAATGTGTCTAATTTTTAATTCTGCAAATATCTAATTGAAGAAAACATCTGATTTGATGAATCTCCTGCATTTAAAGTGGTTGGCATGTCCCACTATTGAACTTCTGCAGTAAATAGTGTTAGCCTGGAGCACATCTGTTCAAAGGGCTAATCCACAAAAGGCTGGTCTCTGTGCGCCCACTGGGCAACCCCTTCAGCTGGCACAAACAAGCTGTACAACAATAGTGTTGCTGAAGCTAGCGTTGGCCAAAGAGAGCTAGGCTAAGCTGCTCTGCTAAGCAAGCTGGTTTCCAAAGCTTCACTCTGGGTTTCCCCATTATCTACCCTGCAGTGTCTCTTTCTTCACTGCATCACTGTTTTACTCACATTTATGTTTAATTTCTCTGTTCATTGCACCACATGCCTGATCAGGTCACTTTGCTTTGCTCTGTTGTTGTAGAAGTTCTGAACTCAGCATCCAGCACCTGATCTGGTCCAGAAGAAGCACACACAAAGGAGCATTTGACCAAAGATTTGTGTAGTCTGGTACATTGTTGTGTATGTGCAGCGTGTGTTCCAGCACTTAACATTACGAGGTTTCAGCAGCCTAATAATAAGCAATCTAATAAGCTCAACCACTGTATAGACTACGTATAAGACAAATGGAGGTTTGTATGAATATGTGTCCAAACAGACTGAGTCTTTGTAAAATTCAAAATCACCAGTCATTCAAACAGTAAAACAGTCATTCAGTGTCCTATGGTTTTTAATGACTTCATCAGTTTTAGCCCCCCTCTACTACCCCCTCTTCTACTACTACTCTTGGTGTGCTTGGATCAGTGTCCTGTTGCATTGCCTCACATCTGACTCTACAATGCTTTGTTGTACAGACGAGTTCATGATCAGATCCTGTGGTTGCATTCAAGCCCAAATCATCAGCGCCGTGCTTGATAGCTGGTTTGATGTGTTGGTGCTGTTTGTGGGGTTGCCACTTTGCAACACTAACCTGTGCTGCATGTTCTCTGTACTGAACAGAGGCGTTCCCCTGGCAACCCTTACAAAGAAGCCACAAACTGTAATATTGTATCGTATGGTGGCTGTAATGCTCGTTGATGATTAGTTAAGTCATTTGATTAGCAGCAGCTCGCTGCTCCTAAAGCTGTGGAACACAGCTGTGCTTTCTTCTTCTGCATTTTGACTTAGTGCAGCATGGCGTTATGATATTATAGCAGTAGTCCATTTGAGCTTATAGCTATCTGCTAGATGATTTTCTTTCATTATATGTAAAACCCGAGGATTTAAAGAGGGTGTACTTTTTGATTTTACCATAACTTTAGTCCAGCCTTCAAATCAAGAACGTCATTAGCTTCATTAGCTTTGACAGGGTGTCCAAAATTAAAAGTTACTTTACAACCCTGTTTCTCATCAGTGTGAAATAAATAAAGCTGTGTGACAGTGATTGTATTAAGTCATGTGAACAAAAGCTGGGTGATGTTAGCCTGTCCCATCCCAGCAGAGCGCCTCTTGTGCAGCTCGTCTTCGTTCAGAGTGGAAGCATTGCACTGACCGCTTCTGCAGTGCTGCTTTTCTAACACTGTGTATAACCTTTCTCCGTCACTGTGAAGGAATGCAAAAAATGTTTGCTCAGCCTCCCCTGGTGTTGCAACACGGGCAGGCAAGCGTGTTCTTATGGTGGACTTGATCGTGCTCACATGTGAAACACAGAGACTCAAACAGAGACGACTTAGTTCAGTCACAGAGAGGCTGTTACCTGATAAACGGTGTTGAAGCCAAATCACAGATGTTTTCTCTTTATTGCTCACATCCTGATACATCACAGTTGCTTTCTGAACACTATTTTCCTGTTGGATCAGCATACACACGTATGTTGTCTTCATGCTACAGGTGGAAGTGATCGTTCTCATGTCTCAAGCCCAGCTGAGGAATCTGACGACAGCGTCTTTGTTTTTGTCTCATTGTGTTTGATAAAAATGTTTTTGCACTGGCCCAGAGCAGAAAACTAACAGGGCTGAGCTGATAGGCTGGCCTCAGCGCTCAGGGCATTCACACACATATAGCAGCAGGATAGTGTTAGCTATTGGTAAGGTTTTTACTCTCGTCTCTGAGAAGTTGTTCATATATTTATTTTTCATGTGGCCACCAAGTAGATTATTTATTGTAACTCATTTTGTTGCCTCAACCTTCACCAGAAGCCTTGAATTTGAACGTGTGGCATTAAACAGAAAAGGGTCTCATGGTCTCTGTGAGCAGCGCTGCTGCTTCTGTGTCTCAGTAGAATAATAGTTAAAAGTTGTTTGGGGTCCACACAGTGATGCAAACCAACAACACGAAGCATTAGAGCTGAACTGACCCAACGTATGTCCAAAGAAACAAACATTACTGTTGGCTGACCTTCATATAATGATCGTTGTGCTTTCAATAACTGAATAATTATCTTTGTCCAGCACAGTTTTGATCTCACAGTCCTTTTTTATGATGGAGTAAAATAACATTGTCACATACGCTCTTCAGGCCGTGTCCAGAATCAGGGCTGGAAGTGTCATGCAGGATGTGCTGCAATAGGCACAGTCACTAAAAATAGAGGTGAGCTTTATATTTAGGGTAAAACGTGTTGCCTGCAGAGCAGGGTGGTGCTGCTGGAGTCAGAGCTTGCTCTGCCATCTTGTGGGCAGCCAGCTGTAACTGCAGCGTGGGTGCAGACGGTGAAAAGCCTGTCATGTGATGTGATCCTTTCTCAGTGAGAAACATTTGATGCTCAACGGCAAGAAGGAATAGGAAAAATGGTGTTTGTATGGCACGGAGCTTCATTTGAGGTGACAGGAGGCTGAAGAGGAGCAGCCACAGGGGACTGTGGAGGGAACAGAGGAGGAGAACGCGGGGCTGTTCGCTGAGAGCAGGAGTAGGAGGAGAAAGGCAACGTGAGGGAAGCAGCAGCAGGAGAGCACCATGAGATTCCCAGTATGAAGGAGCCGGAACATTCAGCTGGAGGGATGCTGCTCCTGCTGCTGTTCTACATTCGAGTCAAAGGTAAGGTGAGCGTGGAGCACGTCGGGTCATCTGAGGCGTGTGCAGAGAAAGGTCGCACGAGGGCTGAGCGAAGGTGCCAGCGATGATGATGTCATTAAAGGAAATGGCTTGTTTGGATGTTTCTGCGTTTTAATCCTGGAATTAGTGGAATTGTTGAACACTTCATTTGGTTTCAGCGCAAAGACACAAGAACGAGATCCATCTCATTATATCAGTTAGAGAGAATAACAGGAAGTATTTTTAATTGAACGCCTCCCCTGTGTTGTTTTGCTGCGAGTATGGGAGTCTTTCTGACAGCCTCGTTCCCAGTACAACCAGTGTCAAACCCACAGTGTTTCCCTATCCTCAGTTGGGACCAGGAGTAAGGCTGTGTCTGTATTTCAGCTTTTTGACTTGATGGCTTTAGTTAAGTTCCCGTACACGCTCTACACGCTGTGTTCCTGCTGAAAGTCATTTATTCAGATGTTACAGCTGAGATGCATCACTGAGCACGACAGACTGAGCATCCGACTTTAAAACAGACACTTTGAAGGTACCGCTGGAAACGATCTGTGTTGTTGACTACGATGAGCATTTATAAGTTCATACATGCTTAAATTAGTTTCATAGGCTGAAGTTCCCAATCACACCATGCTCACATATTCTTTTATGAAACAAGAACTTTTCACAGATTTCTAAGGCAGCATGTTGGCGAGTGTTTGCTTTAACAGCAGAGGGTGCAGCAAACAAACCTGAGGACACGCCCTGCATCTGTGACTATCTCAGGATAAGATTCAAAGGTGGCTCCTGAATAAAAACTGCTCATACATAAATAATACATAAACAGTTCATATTGTCACAGTTCATTTGATTCCGTAGAAAGTTAGTATAAAGTTGTGCATAATAATCCCATAATAATAATGATAATAATAATGAAGATTTTATGGGACTTTGTTGTGTAGTTTTGTCTCCTTCTCTTCCAGCACAGTAAGTCTGTTGTGTTATCACAGACGGTCTAACGGTGTCAAAAACACCTCGGGGCTGTTTTATTGATCTGCTTCAGCTTCTTTGGGAGCCAATAATAGCCTCGCTTTATGTAACAGCCTTAAAAACTGGCAGCAGAGAGTAACTTGGCCCAATCGGTCTGCATTTCCTGAGAACGTGCTCGCTGTGTCGCTGATGAACGCTGCTGCTAATTCCTTTAAGAGTCAGTGAAAACAATCAGTTTGACTCTTAAAGCTCGCTGTTTCCTTTTTTCTGCGTGAGTCTGAGGGGAGGGGTGGGTGTTGTTGGTAACGTATATGCTGCTACTTTCCTGTTAGTGAGAGGAACAATGTCTGGAAGTGAGTCAAACCCTTGTAAATGTCCTGTTCTGGAGAGATTTGGTAGTACCACCCTGCTCTCCTGCTCCACAGCTCGCTGCGTAAGTCACAGTATATCTCCGATAGGCTGTCTGCTCGTCTTCATCCCTCCAGTGGACAAGATGGCGGGACTGTGTGCTTTGGCCTTTGCATCTGGAGGTATGGTATCGTTTGATTCGCCTGCTCTGCTTTGCTCATTCACTTTGGGCCATTCTTACTATCACCTTGGCAGAAATGTGGGACAATGCAACACTTGTTCTCCTCAGGGGTATGCTGTACTAGGTCAGCTCTTTGAAGCTTTGCCAGTCAGTGCAAGTGAAGTGTAGCAGAGTTTACAGCACATTTGGGCTGTGAGAGGTCCTGTGATGGTTCTTTAATGGGAGGCATGGAGCTCTAACCACAGTCGACTGTTTGTGTTTCACAGCTGCTCATCTGAATTTTAACACCTAAAAGAACATGGATGAGACCGGGGAATCCCATTGGTCTATGTACCATATCTTGTGGTTAACACCAATGTTTGAGTTAAAACTGCACAATATCACGATGCTGACAGGGGCATCATGCTAACTCTCAGGTTAACATTACCCTCGTTCTCCAGCACTATGCATCTACTAGTTCCTTCAACAATACTCTTACTTTACCAAGCACATGATCTTTTCACTGGCTGACTGAGATGTGCTCCTGCTGTGTCCGAGGCTAGGAGTCGAGTCAGGCTGTCATTTTAAATTCAACTCAGTTCTTGCCTCAAGCCACTTTATATTGTAAGGTAAAGACCCTGCAGTATTAGAAAGCAAATCATTAGCAAGCAGTTGTTGACAGTGGGAAGGAAAAACTACCGTGTAAGAGGAAGAAACCTGCGGCAGAAGCAGGCTCAGGACAGAGGGTCGGGGTAGAGACGGGACAAACTGTAGGAGAGACGGCCACACTTTAACCGATTTATAAACACAGAGGAGCAAAGAGGAAATGCTCAGTGTATCATGGGAAGCCCCTCAGCAGCCCAAGCATATTGCACCATAAGTAGGGGGTTGTTCAGGATCACCTGATCCAGCCCAACTATAAGCTTTATCACACAGCTTTCAGTCTAATCTGTCTCCTGAATCCACACCAGGACCTGGTTCCACAGGTGGCCTTCACATGCTTACACGCAGGTGTATTCTTTGAAGCATCTCTTTTGGGGCCAGTGCCTTTAAAGAAGCCGTTTACATATTCACAGCCATTGAATATTGATCGATTGTGATGTATTAGTTTGAGTGGTAGAGCCACTCTGTTAACACAGTAATCAAATACAGTGCACTGAGAATGAAAACACTGAAACTGAGAGTGTGTCCTAATGATCCTGGCCATGTCAGAGGGGACACGTGTCAGTGACACAGGCCCACACAGGATCTGAGTGGATAAAACATTCCCCCACAGTGCAGCTGTGGTGCACCGACACCAGAGCAGTGTTTGCAGCAGCCTGTAACCATCAGTCTTTCTACTGATTTATTATTAATGCTCTGATTATGAAGGTTCCCCCAGACAAGTCTGTATGGCACAAAGGAGGAAACTCGTGTGTTTGAAGCTCCTTCTGTCTCATGGTTTTATCAACACACTGAGCTAATTGCTGCAATTTACCACTTTGCACTTAATGATTTAATCATACTGTATTTAGCATTGTGTGGGCATGTGCTGTGTGTTAAATCACACATAGGTTTCCTCACACGTCTCCCCACATTAGCATGTGGTGTCTCATCCCCATCTCCCTCACCCACCAGTAAGAAGAAAATAGTGGGTAACTATGGAAACACACTGCAGTGGTTCTCTTTTTCTTTGGAGGGCTTAAGAAGATTTAAGGGAGTTCACAGACAAAACTGTAAAGAGCGAGGCCTGTTTGTGCTTCAGATCTCCACAGCCTGGCTTCACACAGACCCAAAGCGGCCACAGCTTCTTGTTGTTTGTGCATTAAACATAGCAGAGTCACTCTACAGCAGGGCTACTTTAGTGACACGAGGTCTCTGTGACTTCAGTTTTGCCTTTAATGCCCAGTAAGCTGGTCGTGCTTTGGTGCATTTCAGTCCTTGTTTCTATGGTTCTCATGTGCAAATAGAAACGAGCGCTTCATTTTTGGCTTGGACGAGGCTCGCACCACACTGTACGCTTTAAAGTGACGTGCAAGCAAGTTAGCTACACCAGCTGCTCATTAATCAGCCAGTCACATAGCTTTAAGCCTGTAAACATGGACGACCTGCAGAAATTCAAAGTAAACATTAGAATTCTGTGTGGCTGACCTCGACCATCCATGGTGACCACAGCGTGCCCATTTTATCTATGTGCACAGCATGCACGCACTGTGGAGGCCAGCTCCAAGGCAACAGCACAAGCATGCAGTATATGGAGGTGATGCACTGTCCCAGCTGCTGCTCTGCAGAGGTGTCAGCCCCTACGTCAGCTCAGCACTAAGAGTGGATAAGGATATCGATTCAGGAGTGGAGTGGCCTCCTGTGGAGGACTCACTGATCCACCTTGCTAACATCTACACCGAAAATCTGAGGAGTAACGGGGACTGAAGGAACAACTGGAGCAGCTGCACAGATCCCTCACACTGCCTGGCCTGTGGTAGAGGACCTGAGCCTGATGAACACACAAATACTGTTTTATATATTACACACAGTGATGCTGAACATGAGAATGCACAGACGTGTACACGACGCAGAGTAGAAATCAGATTCAGCACCACGGTGAGGTCTGCTTTCAGAATATTTATCGTCTGTGTGCACCTATACTGACAGGTTTTGACATCCTCATGACAACATGAGCATGGGTTACCATGGCAACAGAGGCAAAAGATGTGTGAGTGGAGGACGTTATTAGGCCACGCCCATCACTGGAGAAACTAACTAGACTGGAAAGCTAGTACAGATGGGGATTGGGGGGGGGGGGGTACACTGGGAGAGCAGCTAATGAATAATTAGTGAGAGGGGAGATGGTGATGCCACATGGCTGTGGTGAGGTGGTTGTGTTGGGTTGTTGGAGTAAACTGCAGGAGGCAACACACACAGGCTGTGCCTGAGGCTGTGTAACATGCTGCTGCTCAGCACTATGCTCTTTAATAACATCTCTATGAAGTCTTATGAAGATTGAGTTTAATGAAATGAAAAGTAGTATTGTTCTTTTCAGTGAGAAGGTATCTGACCTGACAGGGACAGATCAGCGTTGTGTGTGTAAGATGTCATCATGCTTATTTCTGCTTTTGTTTTAATGAACTGGTCACAGGTAATATTCACTGGTGTAATGCTAACTGTCAGCATACATTTTGATGATTTAATGACACTCATGGTGAACTCAGCCATAGTAAAAATGACTACAGCGTGTTGAATGGTGTAGCAGTCCGCGGAAACGGTGTCGTCTTCTGACTAAAGGCTTAAATCCCGATGATGTCACCAGTTTGGAAGTCAGTGTGAGGACTGGATGGTGACTTTTTTACAGTTTTGGCTCTGGGTGACTCTGCTATTATTCCCTTGTTGGATGATGGTGCAGCCTGGATGGGTCTTTGGAGAACAGGTGATTTATTCTCTTGGCCGGAGCTGTGAGCCTGTGTTTGGCAGCTTCTAGAGCCACACTCATGGACACCTGGTACTAGGAGTGATCTGTGAGGCAGCATATGCAAGTATCTGCACGAGGACTTTGTGCTCTTTGTTGGGGTCTTACCTGAGTCTCACCACAATCTTCATCTTCAGCTCAGCAGGTCCATCTGTCATTGGTGACTGTGCATTAACCAGTTCACTTCTGCTCTGTTCTCCCAGGGCTGGCTCCATACTGTTGTTCCCACTGTGCTGTAGCTGTCTTCTATTATTACTGTTATTGCAGTGAGCTACTCGGTGCTTCTCACCCATAGCTGCTATATGCATATAACCCCTCTCACTGCGGTGCCTGGTATAGTAGCAGTCTGTGGTGGCCAATAATACGGTTTCATGTCTGGGGGTTGGAGTCCTCTTTCATACAGTATCAACAGTGTTGGTTTGAGTGAGTGTATCAGAGAGGATTCGGGTTGTAGGAGACAGCACTGATAAACAGGGTTTTTATAACTGGTTGTAACGTTTCTTTTTTATCCTTTCATAGTTTAGAGGATTTAGTATTGTTGATGTTATAAGAAAACTGCCCACACGACTCAGCTTCATGCATTATGTTGGAAATGTTAGCAGGTCGGTTTGATTACAAATGTGAGGACTTGTTGTTGTTGTTGTTCTCCAGTTTGGATACCAGAAGAGTTTCTCTGTATTAAGCCATCAACACCTTTGTGTGCAGCAGGTGAGGCAACATCTGACAAAGCAGCATTGTGTGAGGATGGAAGCACACATGACAGCAATGTGATGAAATAATCCTGCAGAGAATAAACACAAACAGAAGTCTTTATAGTGCTTCTTCATTCCATTCAATGAGCCTGATAATATTAATGACAGTGTGTCTGATAGGATTGTTTCAGACGGTCACACTATTGATGAGCCCAGGAAAGCCTTTGTAATAATGTTAAATATTGTTTCCAACAGCAGCAGCTCTCACACATCTAAATGAAGCAGCAGTTTATTTTTAGCTGACTGCACGGTCCTGTTATAAATAGCTTCACCGTCACAGTGTCGTCTGAATAAAAGGAATTATAAGGTACTGATGAGTTTATTCATCGGGTAAAACAAGCAGTGATGGAGGTGCTGAGGGAGAAACATGAAGGGAGGAGATTGAAGAGTGGTGAGGGAGGGAGTGGAGTAGGCAGAGCAGTGTGAGCTTTTACTGCTGTAGAGAAACCCGACGCTGATCTTCCCCCCTCGCTCAAACTCTGATGTTGTACATGAAACCTGGACCTTTACCTCACTTTTTACCTGATTGTATCACTTTTTTCTTTTATCTTAGCTCCCCCTCCATCCCTCTCTCAATTAGTCCCTCATCATGCTACAGCTCTACAACCGTTTCCTCTCTCTCCTAGAATCGATCTACCGACGGGGGGCCAGAAGATGGAGGAAGCTCTACCGAGTGAACGGACATCTCTTCCAGGCCAAACGCTTTAACAGGGTGAGTGTCCTCAGGTCTTACTAATGCTCACTGGCAGCTGAGGAGAACGCTGGGTAACGCCTGCACTCTGATTCGCTCAGGGTCATTCGAGCCACTGGAGATATATAATGTTAACCGTTGCTGTAGCCGTGCGTATGAACATCTGCCCTGTGCCAGTCTGGACTTGCAACATATGAAGCAAGTAAGAGGCGACAGATGTGTGTGTGTGTAGTTGCAGCTGGTAGAGCATCCGTTAGCAGCTTTGCCTTGTCTGAAAAAAGTATATTATATTGTTTTAGTCACCAAATACTGACACTGGTGTTTGTGCTGCTGTATTTTTGGCCTCATGTGTCCAAAGAGCGTCCAGACGGGTCAGGCTGTGTTCAGGTGTGTTTAACCCTGAGCGTTACAGGGTGTGACGTACACACCTGAATGACAGCACCTAGCTGAAGCAGACACAGTAAGGACCGCTAACTACTGAAGTTAGTGGTGTTAGTGCAAGCTGCTGCTGAGCGACGTGTCAGGAGGGTGAATACAGGCTCTGACCTGGACTGTCTATTGCTGTGAAAATAAAAGGTTTAGTTGGGGAAACTGTTACTTTGTGGTAATTATTTATAAATATCATGATTTAGTGTGTTACACTGGTATGTTTGTGTCATAAACATCCTGCATTTAAATGATGACAGGTAACCCAGTCACCTCACAGCTAAGCTGTTTGAACACTGGTGCATAATTCACGGTGTCCTCGTTGTGGCTGGTTCCCTCATCTCAGCTCAGACCTGGAAACAAGTGGGTGTCTCTGTGTGGGATAGTTTTCCATTTGATGTTGCCTCAGCGAACATGATGATGAATGAGGCCAGCACTGTGGTCTAGAGGATGATATTTGGTGTTCCTGTGTCAGGACAATATGCCCATGATCATGGAAATGTAAACGCCCTCCAATCGGTGCACACAGTTTCACAGACAGAGCTGTGTGCTTGTTTTCCTGGTTTGTAATCCAGCTTGGAGTGAGATGGTCTTAATGTGCGGACCAGAAAGTGGATAAGCTGAGTGCAGGCAGCGTGCTGGCTCAGCACTATGGCTCTCGGGGTTAATATTACTGATGCACTCTGCCTTATTCAATGAAGAAATAAACTGTATGCAGGTATACACTATAGTGACATACAACAACTATCGTCACAGTGAGAGAGCTGCTGTTCGCTTCATGCTGCTGTCGTGTACAGTTTCACTGCTGCCTATACAAATAAGACCAGTTTTCATCTTAAAATACCAAATATGTAGGAGAAAGTGTAATCCTTGCCTTGATTATGTTGATTATGTTCCCATTCAGGACCTTTAATATTTGCACTGAGGTCCTAAGAATGACATAAAGGTGGAGGACTTGCTACACAGTGTACAGAAGCTTTAACAGGACCAGTTGCCCAGAGTCTCCGGGACTAATGCATCTTTACCCTAATAGGAACTGCTGAGGAGGAGGGGAGATGCACCCAGCCCTTACTGCCTATGTGCAGACGCCTGCACACCTCTGATGACCCACTCACTGAGCAGCTCTGATAGTTAGGTATAATATAGAACAAGAACAACCCATCTTTTTCAAAAGTGAATATCCACGATTTAGATTTTATATTTAGACAGGATATTTATTGAATTAATTTGGCGGTGCTTTCATGAAGGTGTGAAAGCACCTCATGAAAGCACCTCATGAAAGCACGGGGTGGCTGTAGCTCAGGTAGTAGAGCGGGTTCGATCCCAGTCTGCTCCAGTCTGCATGCCAAATATCCTTGGGCAAGATACTATACCGAGTGTGTCTGAGTATCGGAGTGTGAACGTGTATGAATGTTAGTTAGGTAGCACTGAAAACCCAGACAAGTGCTTGTGTGAATGGATGTGATTGGGTGAATGAACAAGTTGTATAAAGTGCTTTGAGTGCTCAGAGTAGAAAAGCGCTGTGTAAGACCCGGTCCCTTTACCATTTACCAAAAAATGGGCCCAAGTGTAAATTTGTGAGGCAAACTTGGCAGAACCTTTATATCCAAAACAAAGTTCAACATCCAAGGGAAACACTGGGAATTCCAGGAATACACTGAGGAAACCCCGTAGGTAACAGACTAGGAACAACAGATGAGGAACACAGCGTGCTGACACAGGGAAGGAGAAACAGTACGACGGGATCTAAACCCTGGGACCCAGACTCACCACAGAGACAGAACAAACAAACTCAAAACAAAACAAACTCTAAGAACTGTAAATGAATTTGACACTGCACAACTACCACTGGTTTAGGAGAGGATGAGCAGAGACAGGTCTCCTGCCTGGCTGCATAGAATGAAAAGCAGATGTGGAACACTCCCCTAAACCCCTCACATCTACCACCATGGCAGAGTGACGTGGGAGGAAATATTCCATCCACGGTCGTTTCCTGTCATAATCCTGCTGAACTTTCTCCAAGATAGCCCAGTGTTCACCACAGCTGAACACTCAGCTGCTAACAGCCTGACAGCGGTCTTTTCTCCACAGGGGGCGTCATCTGCCTGCATTTCTAGCTTTATCTTATACTCAAGTGCTTCTGGCATTACTGTGGCAGTGGTGTATAAAAGCTCACTGGTTTCCATGGTGGTGATAGTGGGGATATGGTGCAGAGGTCTTCCAGAGACCATCCAGGACAGAATTCCAGGATGTAAGATAAAAGCTGGTAGGATGCAGACTGAGAGGCACAATCAGGTGGGTGGGATAGTGTACAGGTGGTTTCATCAGATTCCTGGCACAAATCTCTCGATCCATTCCCCCATCACTGGACCAGAGGTGGTTCCACCTTAAGTAGGCGAGCAGCAGCCGTGCTCCCATTCTTCACTACAGCCAGTGTCACAATGACCAGTTAACCTGACATGTGTTTCTTTCACTGTGAGAGGAAGCTGGTGTACCCCCAGAGAACCCACACAGCTGTGAAGATGGGAGCATACAGAACCCACACTACACCAAGTCACGTTTACTTCTTCACAGCTTTAATCTAAAATGCTTTCAGTGACTCCACAGCTCTTACAGGTAATACCCATCCTGCCACGGTGACACGATTAAACCTTTATTAGAAGCCAAACATTACGCTGCACACATGTATTCACCAGCTGCCCACTGCTTGTCACCACTCAAGTCTTTTCCACATGTGGTAAATCAGTTTGATTGGACAGCATATTGAAAGCATCAGCCTGAGCTGTTCTGTGAGCTCAGCTTGTCATGGCTTCCAAAGGCTGAACACACGAGGCAGTGAGACACACAGCTTCACATTCCTAGTTTTACTGAACCTTCATGGGCTTTGTGGTGCATATTAATCAGGCATTTAACTAATTTAGCATACAAAGACTGTGCAGCTGTGGCATGTAAGGAGTGTTGTGTATAGATATTTAGATTTATAGATTGGGGCACATTAGGAAATGTACATCAAGTCAGGAGATGTTCCTGCTGTTTCCTTCATGAATTCATAACAGCAGGCGCCTGAATTGTTAAACAGCTGGCTCTCAGACTGGGACTTGTGTGACTGTTGCTATGCCAGCTCCCAGGATTCTGGTTGGTTACTGTGTTGTCCTCAGCATATAAATAAGAGCTGAGGAGAAGTAGGCCAAATTTCTCCTCCTTTCTCTCACTCTCTCTCTTTACATCTGCGTCCCTCCCTCTCCGTCTGATGTTTTCAGAGGCAAAGCTGCTCTCTGGCTCTCTCCCCTCTGACATCGTGGGCTGTCTTTAGCTCCTGTTTCCCATGTGATGAGGACGGCGTTGGAGGATGACTGACAGCGTCCTCTCATGGAACAAAATCCACACAAGCAAACACAAAACATGCTAGCTCAAACGTGAGAGGAGCATGTTTGTGACTGCTGGTTACAGATGTGTAAACCGAATCAGATGAAGTATATTATATTGTATCTTTAGCTTTCTAGCCTGGTCTTTTTCCCACAGTGACATCAGTTACACTGGGCGTAATGAGGAGTGGGACAGAGGGTTGTTCATGGTTGACCTTTGTATCCTCAGTGAACAGCATCCATATACAGGACCTGCAGGTGTTGGGCACTGGGCTTAAAACAAAGCCATTTTCAGGCAGACACAGGTTTGCCACATGTATTCACTCATCTGCCTTCGCATGCATATGAACTTGAGTCACACCCCATTGTTAATCCATAGGATTTCATATATGATGGTGGCCCAACCTTGGCAGCTATAACAGTTTCATCTCATCTGGGAATGTTGAAGCTTTTGGAGTGTTTATGGGATTTTTGAGTGTTCTTCCAGAATCTGTGCGGTCAGACACAGCACACACGAGTGTGTTACACCCCGGCCTAGGCAACCGGCGTGCAACGTATGAAAATAAAAATAAGAAAAAAAACACACGAGAAACAAACTAAAGCTCTCCACCAAAATCCCAAAACGAAGGTGTCTCAAACGAAAATATTAACAAACCCATTCACAGCTATTTACAACAGACTATTTATTTACATCAAAACACCAAACTATTTACAACACGGGGGAGATCGCGACCATGACCAACTGACACACAGGGCTTAAATACATAGAAGGAGCAATCAGGGAATGGACCACAGGAGGGAAACACAGCTGGGGCAAATTAGACCTGACGAGACAAGGAAACGTAAACTGAACACACTAAGATAACACAGACTTTCAAAGTAAAACAGGAAACTACATGACAGTCACGCAAAAAACAAAACACTGACAACACCGAAACGTAACATTTCCCCCCACCCAAAAATCAAACATGTAACCCCAAGTGAAATGTTTGATCAAAAGCGGATGAAGGCTGGTGGAGGCTGGAGCGGTCCCACGGACCCTCCAGCAGACGACGAAGGCTGGAGCGGTCCCCCGGACCCTCCAGCGAGAGCGGATGAAGGCTGGAGCGGTCCCTCGGACCCTCCAGCGAAGGCGTGAGGCTGGAGCGGTCCCTCGGACCTCCAGCGAGACAGACGAAAGCTGGAGCGGTCCCACGGACCCTCCAGCGAAGACAAACGAAGGCTGGAGCGGTGCCACGGACCCTCCAGCGAAGGCAGACGAAGGCTGGAGCGGTGCCTCGACCCTCCAGCGAAGGCGGACGAGCTGATGAAGGCTGGAGCGGTCCCACTGACCCTCCAGCAGACGACGAAGGCTGGAACGGTCCCTCGGACCCTCCAGCAGACGAAGGCTGGGGCGGTCCTCGGACCCCCCCAGCGAAGGCAATCCTGGACGAGCCCCCATATGTTACACCCCGGCCTAGGCAACCGGCGTGCAACGTATGAAAATAAAAATAAGAAAAAAAACACACGAGAAAAAACTAAAGCTCTCCACCAAAATCCCAAAACGAAGGTGTCTCAAACGAAAATATTAACAAACCCATTCACAGCTATTTACAACAGACTATTTATTTACATCAAAACACCAAACTATTTACAACACGGGGGAGATCGCGACCATGACCAACTGACACACAGGGCTTAAATACATAGAAGGAGCAATCAGGGAATGGACCACAGGAGGGAAACACAGCTGGGGCAAATTAGACCTGACGAGACAAGGAAACGTAAACTGAACACACTAAGATAACACAGACTTTCAAAGTAAAACAGGAAATACATGACAGTCACGCAAAAAACAAAACACTGACAACACCGAAACGTAACAAGTGTCTCGCAGTCGCTGCTCTGATTCATCCCAAAGGTGGATGAGATCTTGGGTTGAGGTCAGGACTCTGTGCAGGTAAGTCAGCTCAGTCATGTCTTTATGGAGCTGCTTTGTGCACTGGTGTGCAGTCTTAGAGGGCATCCCCAAACTGTTCCCACGAAGTTGGAAACATGAAGTCGTCCCAGATGTCTTGGTATGCTGAAGCATTTCTTTAAAGGAAACTGCTGACACACAACTCCACACGAAAATACCTCCTACACCAAACCTAAAACCTGGCACATGTAGTCAGATCAGCCATGAAGCTGTTCTTCAGCTAACATGAAGGTCACGACCTCTGCATCCTCGGACCCCACTCTGTGGTTTTACGTGCCATATCACTGTCACTGAGTTGCTGTCATTCCCAATCACTTCCTCTTTGTTATAATACCTCTAACAGTTTTGGAGTGTTTAGTAGTGAGGAAACTTTCTGACTGGACTGTTTGCACACGTGACATCCTGTAACTGTACCATGCTGGAGTTCAGTACAGTAGTAAGGATGGTGGTTTCTGGGGCACATTATATTCTGTAAATGTTGCTTTGCTGTTGTAACGGCCTGATTCTGTGCAGGTGTTATCAGTTATTTTGCTCTGATGAGTTTTCTTAAAAGCAAAGCAGACAGCACATCATTTCTCAGCAATATTAGGCCCGTCAGTGTGCGGGCACTCACACGATCTGTACCACTGCTTGCTGGGATCAATCGATAAAGCGCCTTCTGCTCCTTAATCTGAAGCTGCAGGCAGCTGCAGGACTTTGGACCTCCATGTGACAAGCACAGCTCTGAGAGATGCTTCTCCCCTGTGCTGGTTTCTATCCCAGCTTATTCTGACTGGTTTATTACATGTTCTTAAAAGCTGGTGACCTCTCTGAGTCTTGGAAACACCACATGCTGCCACGTAGATGACAAGAATACACACGACTCATCATAAACATTGTTGATCATCACATTAACAGTGGCAGAGGCCAAGGTGTGGTTTGCAGAGTCAGTATGTTGGAGAAGAGTGGTGTGCACTAATACACCACTTACTGTCCTCTAATGTCCTGGAGCCTGACACTGCAGGGTTCCCCGTACAGCCACATGTATGTGCTCTGCAGCAGCGCAGAGCAGTGAGATCCAGCTAAGTCAGGGACAGCGTTTGGGGTGAGCCGTTCTGATGCACCAGAGAAACTAGAGCAACTTTAGTCAGTTTTACAGTGTTTCACTGTTCTGTCTCAAGGAGACTGCGTGTATTATCATGTACAGACGTGTACGTACACTCATCATGGCCATGTAATATTTAATCATTTAACCAGTGTAAATATGGGTCAGTTTTTTTGGTATTTTTATGCTGATATACAGTCAGCGTACAGGTGCATCTGTACCTGTGATTATTCTCATGTTGGTGTTTGTATCATCCAAAAAAATCCTAAAAAGAACCCGAAGCTTAGATTTACATCGCTGTCAGGCTGGGTGTGGGTGAAAGTTTGCGCTTTAACTCTGTTTAGTGTTCGAGGAAAAGGACTTGAAGTCTTTGCTGAAGCATTTCCATGGTAATAGAGTACTGACTGGGACTTTGTTCTTTACAATGATGTCAGTACAGCCGAGCACACACTCTGCATCTCAAGTGTTCACTTCCCAGGGAGACGGTTTGGTGACAGCCTGCCCAGAGACACCGAGCAGCTTTGGTACAACTACACAGAAAGGACTCCACACCAAGTCATGTAACAGAGTAAACTTACAATAAGCCTTGGCCTGGCCGAGGACACGAGGAGGAAGGACGAGTCTGAGTTAGAGACATGTACATAAAGGGTGAGGCTGAGGTTAGAAATCTATCGTATTAATAACATTACAAATCCATATTTTCAGCATGAAGTAGTGTCTGTGGTTGATTTGACTGAATGTCACACTGTATACACGCTGTTTTATTTTAAACACGTTCTGGAAATGTAATGTGCAGATATAACAGCTGAAGACAGCCGTGGCTTCTTTCTACAATAGAAATCAAATATTCTCCCATATCTGTAGCAGAAGTTCCCATAAACGTGGACCTTGTAGGTTGCTTTGCTTTCACTCTTCTGTCCAGTTCAAACCAGCTCGATGGGGTTTAAGTCTGGAGACTGTGCTGGACACTCCGTGTTTTCAAGCTCACCACCTTGTTCTTTGTTCCTGAGGTAGTTCTGGCACAGCTTGGATCTATGTTTTGGGTCTTTATGTTGCTGTAGGATGAAGCCCTGACCAACTAAGCTCATACCAGAGGGTCCTGCATGGTGCTGCACAATGCTGTGGTACGTGTTTTGGTTCAGGGAGCCTCTCACTCTGTACAAGTCACCGACCCTGGATCCAGCAAACAGCCCCAGACCATCACACTTCCTCCTCCTTGTTTGACGGTTGATACCACACACTGTGGAACCATCCTTTACCTACTCGACCACAAAGATCCTGTGTGATGAACACAAGATTTCAAATGTTGATCCATCAGTCCATAATACCTTCTTCCAGTCTTCAGTAGTCCAATGGTGGTGTTTCAGGCCCAGCCAAGCCTCTTTGTCTTATTCTGACGTCTGGCTTTCTTGCTGCAACTCGTCCTGTCAAACCTGCAGCTCAAAGTCTTCTCTTCACAGCTGAAACTGAGACTTTCTTACGACGACCACTATTAAGCTGCTTGAAGCTGTTGTCCTGTGAGCCACCTATCACACAGCTGTTAACTCTCAGAAACTTGTCCTCTGATTGAGTCGTGTCTTTGGGTCTGCAGACCTCTTCCTGTCAGTTTGTTTCTGAGCCTTTGGATGCTGAAGGAAACTGGACTCACTGACACCTTGACTTTCTTTGCAGTTTCTCTGTAGGCAGACCGACATTTATAAGTGTTATGATGGTCTGTCTCTCTTCCATTGTCAATCACCTTTTTCTCACACACTCACACACGCAGCATTTGAAACATTAGTGTTAGATACATGTTGTCACACTTCCATGTTTCAGATTATCAAACAAATATTAACATTAGACAAACAGGAATAAACACAAACTGCAGTTTTTACACCTCAGCCATAAAAAGGTGTGATGTCATCGCCCTCCTGGGTTGGCGGTGATGACATCTCTAAGGCTACGTTCACACTGCAGGAAAAAGCGCATCAAATTCGACTTTTTTTTGACCCTATGCGACCCATATCCGATCATGGTATGACAGTGTGAACGGCACACATCCGATATTTTCAAATCCAATCTGGGTCACTTTCGTATGTGGTACTGAATCCGATACATATCTGATGTTTCAGAAAGCGACTGCTGTTTGAACGGTCATGTCGCATTAAAACCGTCTTTTACGTCACCGACTCAAGACAGACGGCAATTATCAGCGCTGGAGAAGATATCGTGAACGCTTCCTGGCCATCCGGTGAAACTGTTGGGAAGACAACGTTGGAGAAACGTGAACATTTAATTTGTACTGCATAATCTGCAGATTCTGACAGAAATCTGCAACTATCCTTTGAAGCACTGCTCCTCTCTAAAACAGCAATAAGGATGATTATTAGGCCATATGTAAATAACAAAATAACTTTATAACTTAAAGCAAAATTGGGAAACGTAAAGTCCGAAACAAGTGGGCCATCAGTCAAACAATACTGTTGGTGTGGGTATAAACAGAGCACGTTCTGTGTGACATCTTTTGCCCATGCGGGCCGCTTTGAGGGTTCACACTAGAGCGCGTTTGCTGTCACATTTTATTTGTAGTGTGAAGGAGCAGACAGCACAGTCTCCGTCTTGTTGTTTATGAAGACAGAGTTCTGTTGTTGAAAATGTCTTTTGATTTTCTCTGTTATAAATGAACGATGTGTATTTATTCTGTCGTGATAATAATTGTATTAAAATAAATACTGATTACAAACGTGGATGTTTGCAGCTGTGTTTGTGCTATTCAGCCATAAAGGCTAACTATGAAAATCAGACTCCTCGTTTAAACGATGAAGAGTCTCATTGTCCGTCCTGTAGTGGCAAAGTTTGACTTTGACATATATGTTCTGCTAAAAAGGGTGCATGTTTTTGTCTTACAGAAAGCCTACTGTGCCCACTGTAGTGACAGGATATGGGGGCTGGGCAGTCAGGGCTACAAGTGTATCACCTGCAAACTGCTGGTCCATAAGCGCTGTCACAGACTCATCCCTCAGACCTGCCAAAGGCTTATGGTGAGTATGTGATTATGCCCATTAAATAGCACAGAGGCTCCTGTTGTCTGCATGGATCATTGTGAAAGCTTTTTCCCTCCCTGGACAAAGAACCGTTCAAAGAAACCATCAAAAGCCCAAAATTACCATGACACTCATATCAGTGAGGGGTGTGTGTAAACTGTGGACATGCAAAGAATAATCTTTAACCTTAGGTGCACTCAGTGATTGACCCTTCTTTGGTCGTAGGTGGATAGAGAGCAGCTGTTACACTGGCCCTGTTGTTTAATCTCTTTCATTTGTTAGCAGTAGGCTAATAATGTAGAGCAAAAGTTAGCTAGTCAGTGTTAGTGATGGGACTAATTATGTTCTCAAGCTGTTGTCAAACATTAAGGTGGAGGCCATGGCAGGGACTGTTGAACAGCTACTGCATCAAAGTCCCTCCCAACCAATCAGATTGCACTATTTGGGAACATTCAATCTCCTTTTCCATCAGAGTGAACACAGTGTCAGACCAACGCTGGAAACAGTGTAACAAGTAGTTGTTTTAAGTATCAGGTTAATATGTTAGAGCTCTCAAACTCTATATGTTAAACTGAAGTTTGACTCTCTCAGGGTTAATTCATTACCCGGAGTCATTCTGAGTCAGTCAGCTCTCAGTGTAAATAAAGTGAGTGAAACTGAAACCTCTTGCTTTGGGCTCAGCATACTGTGCTAATCTTGCTTCACAGTAGCACCTTTCAGGCCTCAGCATCAAGTGGAACCACACAGGAGCAACAACAAAACACAGCAGAACAGTTTGTCACAAATGTCTTTAAAATGTACTTGTGTTTGGTGTGTGTGCTGCTTTACATGAGATTCAAAGATCAAGTAGTGATGTCTTACCTTATAAGTGAAGCAGTTTATAAAAAGGAATTAAAATGGTTTTGAAACAGCTGAGAAACAACAAGCTAGTCTTTCAAACAAGTCTTTCTTCAAAGACCAGCAATATAGTGATATCCTAACTGATACAAAACAAGGACGGCGTGACCACAGACCAGTGTGCTCCACGTAGTCAATCCATTAGAGCGCTATGCAAGCTTCAGGCCAAACAGAAAGATCCAAAATTTTGACCCCAATCACCCAAATCCTGAGCAGAAAATCAATGCAGTCAATGGAGTATGTGCTCTGCGACTGTGCTGCTATCTTCACTGCCTTTTTTCCTGGATAAGATTAAATCCCTTTTCTGGAGAAACCCCCACACTTCATTAGAGCAGCAACATTTCTGCCCATGAGCTGAAATACAGACCTCGCCCTGAGCGTAAACATGAGCCATCATCCACTCGTCCAGGACTGCACAGCCATGACGGGATATCTGATAGGGCATGTTGCAAAGAAATGTAGGTGAACATCTGAAATCGTTTCTTCAGGATCCAGTCATGCCATCACAGAAGCCCCCTTCAGATGCCCAGAGTGCCGAGGTGGACCTTCCACTGGATGACACAGAGGACACAGATGGGAGTAAGATGCATTTCTTTTATATGCCACTGATTTACCTAAGAAAGCTATAAAAAGAAGCTAATCGTTGTATGAGTGCAGGTTTCTTTGAGATCCAGATGAAAAAGGGAAACTCTGAACTCTGCTGCATTTTTATGAGACATAAGTCAGCAGAGAGCATGACGGGATCCTGGACACAGAATCCAAACCCAGTCCATGCAAGTCTAGAAACTGTGGACTACATGTCCCAGTCTGACTGCATTCATGTCCTGGACTGTTTGGACTCTAACACATAGGACATTTAACACTTTTCACACTTTCTGATGTCTTCTGTGGTCCTTCGTAGGCGGTGAACTGACCGTTGGGTGGGCCCTAAGAAATGTTACAATAAAATACAATAGAGTGTAATTTTATTTGAAATGACTACAAATATTTAGTATAAGAATGCATTTGAGTTTGTCTCAGAGTAACTGTGATATCTGTGGATAAACAGGGTGACAACATCTCTTTGAAAGTACACAAACTCTTTTAAATTTGAGAGTGAATAAAAAATAAAGAAGAGTGCTGTTCTCTACAGAGATGTGCACCACTACACCAGTTTCTTTAGTGTTTCCTTAAACGACAGCTACTTGTACAATTTATAACTGAGGAGCCCTCAGTGGCCCCCGCTGTCCCCAAAGAAATGAGTACCAGAGTGGCTGCTTGGACCAGTGGGCCTGATCTCTTGACTTCTCATTCGCTGTCATCACTTATGTAACTCTGAGATGCTTATGTGTAAACTTGTGCCCATGAGATGCTCTGGGGCCCCTTGTGGATTAGCCTAGTTTGGTAAGAACAGGGGTCTTTATTTTGTGTGCTCTGCCTCCCTCTGCTGGTTGAGGGAAAGAAAGCATTTGCGACAGTCTCCAGATGGTCATAGTTTGGTGTGGATCTGTGTTTTGCAGTACCGTTTTTACCACACAACTGTGCAGTGAATAAAGCAGAAGACGAGACAGAGGTAAGACCGACTCATTAAGGATAATACGCTGATAATGTAAAAGCTGCCCATCCCTTTGAAAATGACTGTGTGATCATTCTTCTACATAAACTATGCTATTGATGCTATTCTGACCTCTGCCCCTGTAGGATATCAAAGCAGTAGTTGATGGCATCGATGGCATTAAGATATCCCAGGGACTGGCTCTCGGGCTGGCTGACTTTGACCTGATTCGAGTAATAGGACGAGGCAGCTATGCCAAAGTTCTGCTGGTGCGGCTAAAGAAGAACGAGCAGATGTACGCCATGAAGGTGGTGAAAAAGGAGCTGGTCCATGACGACGAGGTGAGAGCACCCAGAGAAACTCTGACTGTAGTACTTAAAACCCTAGAACCACATGAGTACTCGTTAGCAGTAATAGGTTTCTTGTAGCTGGTCACCAGGTTTGCACACATGTCAGGAGGGATTTTAGCACACTCCTCTCTATAGAAACTCTCGAAATCCTGCCGCTTGGCAGCGTGAAGCTTCACCTCCCTCCACAGGTTTTTAATTAAGAATTAATGTCTGGAATCTGGCTAAGCCAATACATGACCTTAGTGCGTGTTTCCTTTAGACACTTCTTTGTTGTTAGAAGACCCATCCATGACCCGTCCTGAGTGTCCAGTGGAGGTCACGGCTCCATCCAAAGCATAATATTTCCACCTGTGTGCTTGAGGGTGGGGTTGGTGTTCTTTGGTTCATACTCAGCACTTCTCTTCCCTCCAAAACACCGCAGGGTGGGTTGATGCCAAAAACCTCATTTCTTCATCTGTCCGCAGCATTCTCTCCTGAGCTTTCTCTGAATCATTGAGATCTTCACTGACAAATGTAAGATGACACGTGCCTTCTTCTGAAGGTTGACTTTGCTGCAGGACTTCAGTTCATGGCTGTGTGTTGTGTTACCAGTGGTGTTCTTGGTGACTGTGGTGCCAGCTGCCTTTAGATCATTAACAAGTTTAGGCCTGGTTTTAGCATGGGGGGTCTAGCCAGGACCCTTACTGGATACTTGGTGGAAATCAAACTTGCGACTCCTGCTCCAAAGGTGTGTAGTCTTACTACTACCCTATCCAGCTGCATTCCAGCCTTAAGGAGGCTGACATTGGTTGACATTTGTTGGTCTTCCCATGGGTTTCTGTGGACAGGTGTGCTTTGTAAACAGTAGTTGTATTATATGTAGTGCACAGCTGGTCTGTGAGAGCCTGAATCCTCGGTTTATTGTAGAGGATCAAATAAGAATAAAATATATGCTTTACAACAATAGGTTTCTTGTGCAGCATCCCACTGACAGGCCTGAATTTACAATGTGACCACCGTGTGTTATACAGAAGACTGAGTTAGTGATTGAAAACATCAGAGTTAGTGTTTCTCACTGACTTCTGTACTATTCAGAATCAGAATCAGAATACTTTATTAATCCCGAAGGAAATTAGGGTTAGTTAGTTTTACAACAGGCAATGCACCCCCTGCTGGACATTAGAGAGAATGCAGGATTTATACTGCTGTGAGTTTTCAGACCTGGGCCCTGTTTCAGAAAGCTGGTTTAGTGCAAACTCTGAGTAAGTATACCCTGAGTTAACGAAAACTCTGGGTTTTCGGTTTCACAAAGCGAGTTTAGATTAATTCTGAGTGAGTTACTATGACGACACACTCCGTGAAGCTAACCTGCCCCCTAGCAGGTTTACTTCAACTAACCCTGACTTCTCCGCCTCTTTGTCAGAAACCTGACTGTAGGAAGTGTCAGACATGGCGTGCCCCTTCCTTGAAGAGCCAGTAGATGTTGAAGCCCAAATTCTCCGCAGAGCTCTCCGCCGGGAGAGAGTGATTAGAGCGCGTTTGGACATTTTATCATTTCCTGATGATTTCCTGTGTGAACGTTACCGTTTTTCAGCACAATCTATAATTTATTTGAATAACATCCTCAGGCCTAATATTGCTCATGTGACACATCGCGGACATCCTCTCAGTTCTGTACATATTATTTGTATTGCACTTCGGTTTTTTGCAAACGGGAGCTTTCTGTATAATATTGGTGACGCTGAGCACGTTTCCAAGGCTACCGTCTGTCGGGCAGTCAGGAATGTTACAGTTGCACTGAAACGTCTCCTGTACTCGTTTGTGGTGTTCCCCGGTCATAGACCCACAAGATTTATCAAAGAGGGATTCCACAAAATTGCAGGTATCAGGATGAACAAAACTTAATTCATGATGTGGTGATATTTGAACTACTACTTAAATTTTACATTTATTCTCACGGTTCCCAGGCGTGATTGGCTGTATAGATGGCACTCACATTCCAATCATTGCTCCTTCAGTAAATGAAGGAGACTATGTGAACAGGAAGTCTTTCCACAGCATTAATGTACAGGTACATAGTTCCCTGTAGCATTTCAAACTAACAAATTATTTCATTATAGTAATGGATGCTAATTTGTGTTCTCTGCACTGTGAAGATCATATGTGATGCTGCCAACATTATCACAAATGTGGAAGCCAACTGCTCAGCCTCTGTGAGTGGTGGTGGTGGAGGACCCCCACCTGTTTTTCGGGCCTCCGCTTTTTTTCTGTTGGCTATAACGGGTCACATTTGAGCATACAGAGTAAGCAAATATGTACTTGTAATGTGCTCAGATAATTTCAATAAGTGCTTACAGAAGAAAATTAATGTAGCCTCTAACTGCAATTGATTTACATCGGACAAACAGACCAAGCACTATGGCTCATAATACAATTACACCTTACCTGTTTGGACTATATTTTTATATTTCATTTTTACTTGCTGCCAGGAACGTTTGGGGCCTGTTGGGTTGCACCTGCGCTCACATCACATCACATAAAATGTATGAAATAAAAAATGAAACATATAATAAATAACGTGTTAAATGGGTGGAAATCCCTAGATCAATGTTTAAATTAACTCACGCATTGACTCTGTCGGCTATGTTTTGCCATGCATGCTCCCTTTCTTTTGCAGCTGAGGCTGTGTTACTTTTTTTCGCAAAATTTGCATGTTATCGGCATATGCTGCCATCAGAATTTCGGCCTCAAGCGCTGTAAAATACATTGACCGCGCCTTCTTTCCCTCCGTCTCCATGGTGACTCGCTTAATCTGTGCTCCACTAATCAGGGCTTTATGTATCCTCGTGCGCGCGATTAACTTGGGGTTAAAGCAACTCTGCGTTGACTGAACTAATTGTTATCAGCCTTTCTGAAACCGAATATTCCGAGTTGGACAGTTCGGGGTTACTCAACCCTGAGTATCGTTTTTCACTCTGAGTTTTCTAAACCGGCTTCCTGAAATAGGGCCCTGGAGGCTTCATCCATCTTCATTGTGTTGTAACAGTCCAGAACAACTGACTGAAAACATTAACCACCACAGCTGCAAGCGTAAAAGAAAAACAAGAGAAGGAAAACTACAAACATCAAACACTGAAGGTTTCAAAGATTTCTAAGCACAAAGACTGAGAAGTGTAATGTTTGCCTTCAGGAGGGGATATAACTCTATAAATCAGCCTACGTGGGGACAGCTGTTGCTGTTTTCCTTTTGAAATGCTTTGGAACAGATTTGGTAGACATTAGTAAATTCTTGTATAAAAGTGTGTAAACAGCAGCTTCAGCACCCAGTGATTTCCACTGAAGTCCACATACACAGATGATGTCAGGATCTGTGATGTTGGCACATCCCAGCCACGGACCGCTTTTTTCTGTCTTACATGTAGGGTTGAACTGGACCAGTGGTGGACAGCAGGACACATTTCATTGAGAATGTGGGGAATTTTCAATACTTCTGTGTATATTTTCTCGAATACTCAGAGGGCAGCTGGTTTTGCACGCTGTCTGTTTCATTGTTTTGACCTTGCATGGAGACAGCAGGGCTCTGGAGAGATTTAGGAGCACTAGACTATGTAACAGGTCAATATTCAGAGGAGAGTGGAGGGTAAAAGTTGGAAGTGAAGGGTGACGAGGAAACAGTGGGGAGGTATGAAAATATGAGAATCAGGATTGGCTAAAGGAAGGGAATGGAACTGAGCCAGACACTGGAAGGAAATGGAACAAAGAAGGGGAAATATGGAGTGGAGGTGGCACAGAGCTGCTGAGGAGGAAGAAGTGAGTGGGTGACTGAAAGCAGCAGATGAAATCCGGGTATAACATCCTCTTTGCAGGGATGAATAACCAGATGAACATGAAGTCTGCATAAATAATGTTCCACAGGCAAAAACATGTTATATTCATAGAAACAGAAGCATTACAAGAGCCAAAGTGTCGTTTCGTTTTCCACGAGTGATGCCCACACCTGCAGCTTTCTTTGAAAGTGTCTGTGACACAGTCTGTCTGCATGGTACGTTAGCAGTACTGACAGCTCCCTGTCCTCCAGGACTGATCATAACCTTAGAAACAACACGTGACTTCTGTGGGTGGATTGTGGATACAATAAGACTCAGTGACTTTGAAATACTTTGAGTCAGCTCTGTTTTCTGTGTTACTCTGATTTCACTTCTTGCTCTCGACTCGTCTGGCTTGCTGGTCTGATAACTCAAAGCTTAGCTTAAGTTAACAGACTCTGATCACGTTCTTTAGACTCTGTGACTTCTCTGCCTCAAAAGTCATCAGGTAGTCCTAGAACATCGTAGCTGAAACATATGTTAAAAGAAAGACAGAGAGAGAGATTGGTAAGGAGGTGAGATAGGCCTGAATACAGAAAGCCTACTGACTGTGCTGTGGTTGTGTGATGAAAGTCCACTAGATGGCAATATTGCTCAACATATAGGCTGAGGACCAGCGTCCTATAACTACAGCATCGTCCATCATCTGACCAGCTCACGTTGTCCCACATGGACACGTTTTATTCCATGACAAAGTTTCACTTTCTGTACAAACAACAATCCACGGACAGCAGGAAGGTGATTCCACTGAGAGTCAAATAGTCTGAAATGTCAGACGTGTTACTATGACTTATTTTGCATAATAATAATAATAATAATAATAATAATAATGGCTGGATGCAGTAATGACTTGACCAAAAGGAATTTTGTATCACGGCACAGTGTACACACACCTGATCACAGTTTAATGATGCTTTAACTCCAGATTCAGAGTCCTCGCTGCAGGCAAAGCACTGAGCAGCATCCATGACATCCTGGGTACTCTGAAGGACTTCTGGGAGTTGGAGTGCTTTCAGCTGTTATTTTGTGACACCTGATTTAGAAAGGCGATTCAGTATAAAGGGTTGGATACGATGAGATGCTGATGTCACAAAATAATGTCAAATTTTGCAGCAAACACTGTAGATTGCATACCTGTAATAACGTCACTTACTATTGGCAGTATTTTAGTCCAAAATTACAAACTGTAGATAAAAGATGGACTTTGGGAAGTGAATGTAAGCCACTGTGGTTCAAGTGCCTTAAACCTGCCATCGTGTTAAAGGACAATAGAGAGCTCTTCTGTTTCCCGAGTTCATGGCTTGCACTCCATTAATCTCCCATTCTGTGTGTGAGGGCTGTTCAAACCAGTGACACCAGTGACCTGATGCATCTCCATCGATCTGTCTGAGAAAGCCTACTGACAAACCGATTGTTCCCACATTATCTGTCTCATGCTGTGTCTGTCTCATCTCTGCAGGATATTGACTGGGTGCAGACAGAGAAGCATGTTTTTGAGCAGGCCTCGACCAATCCCTTCTTAGTCGGCCTCCACTCCTGTTTCCAGACAGAAAGTCGGTAAGAGGATAAAGCTGACACTGTGAGCGCTGTCGGGTACAGTGCTTTTCACTAAATACTCCTTTGACGATGGCCCGTTCTTACCTCAGTCTGCTGAAGTAAGCTTAACGTCTAACTTCATATTAACACACAGATTCAAAGTATATGTTCCAGCATACAGACACATATTTAGTCGTACGTCTTCCTACATGCGCACATTAGCTGTAAACTGTGGCTCACGGCTGTGAAGTATAAAAATGAGCTTTGAGCCGTTGTTTAAAACAAAGCACAGATTCAGGCGACCTGACAAACAGATGAAGGCTGTTCCTGAGTAGCTCCACACGTATCTGAAGACAGGTTGACAGTTTTCCAGAAGCTCCTCCCTTTTTTAAACTTTGCGTAGTGAAGTCTTCAAACTGCTTTCTGGGCCTCAGTGTTTAGTAAGAAAGCACAATGTTGTGGGTCGTTAGGGTTGTGTCACAGCAACAATGCCGCTGCACTCTGACACTGATTCAACTCTGTGTGATCTGTGCAGCGTCCAGCTCAAGGCAGCCCTGGAGCTCCATCATGCACCGAGGTCAAAGTTCAAATGAGTTGTAGTTTGTGTCACTAGGTTTACATTGTGTGTCTAAATTTACTGAATTGAAAGAGATTAGACATTGTGGTGTGTTTTCACAGTGAGGTCATTGTTGTAGTTGGGAAATAACCACGGCTCAGATTTGTAATGTGCTCCATTCAATGGTTCTGCAGATCTATTAAAACCTGTTCATGATGTGAGGACTAAAGGTACTGTTCACACTCAGGACTTTACTGTTTTCCTCAAACAGTGCTGAACCCAGCAGGGCTGCACCCATAACAGCCCTTCATAAAGATCACGTGACCAACAGCTGACACATCAAACAGCTGAACTTTTTTTTACTTTACTATTGTTTTTGTTATGATTTGTAATAAACACTGACAACTTCCCCAAAAGTTCAAAATCTATATAAGGACATTTTCATACATTCAATTTATTTATACATCACAACAACAGTCGCCTCAAGGTGCTTTATATTGTAAGGTAGATCCTACAATAATATATACAGAGAAAAACCCAACAATCACATGACCCCCTATGAGCAAGCACTTTGGCGACAGTGGGAAGGAAAAACTCCCTTTTAACAGGAAGAAACCTCCGGCAGAACCAGGCTCAGGGAGGGGCGGGGCCATCTGCTGTGATTGGTTGGGGTGAGAGAAGGAAGACAGGATAAAGACATGCATACAACATGCAGTGTCACATTTGTCCTCCACAGTATCATCTTAATAACACTTTACGTGTTATTACATAAACAAAGCTGAATGACTTGCTCATCCAACCATTTCCACATAGTCTCCTTTGTGGAGCAACACCCCTCCAGGCACCACCTGCAGCTGTACTATATTTCCTCCACTCTTTTAAAACAGTGACTCTCCATCATGAATTTTTCGGTGGGGAAGAGGAGGAAAAGACAGGCAGCCAGGTGAAGAGTGGCTGTGCTGGAAACACGTGGTTACGATGTAACATGCACATGCTGTGGAACTGCTCAGGTCGTTTGTGTCTCACCTCTAAACCTCGTGCACATATGAAGAGATTCACTCGTTGTGCATTGCTTTAATCGACAGTTGGTCACCAGAGGATAGCCCAGGCTTCGGTTGCCTAGGCAACCCACTAATGTGTTTTCTACTCCCTCCTATTATTGGCTCACATTTCAGTCGCTTCAATCGCTCGACTCCCATTTGTGGAAAGTTTATGTCAGGATCCACCCACGTCGTATTTCCAGCATCTTAATACTATCACAATACTACCTTAATACTATCACAATACTACCTTAATACTATCACAATACTACCTTAATACTGTCACAATACTACCATACTACTGTCACAATACTACCATACTACTGTCACAATACTACCATACTACTGTCACAATACTACCTTAATACTACCTTAATACTGTCACAATACTACCTTAATCTTAATACTATCACAATACTACCTTAATACTACCTTAATACTCTCACAATACTACCATAATACTACCTTAATACTCTCACAATACTACCTTAATACTATCTACTAATACTGTCACAATACTACCTTAATACTGTCACAATACTACCTTAATACTGTCACAATACTACCTTAATACTATCACAATACTACCTTAATACTACCAATAAAACTATCACAATACTACCTTAATACTGTCACAATACTACCTTAATACTGTCACAATACTGTCACAATACTACCTTAATACTGTCACAATACTACCTTAATACTATCATAATACAATATTTTATTATTGATTAAATAACATCAAACGGGGCTTTTGAGTCAAGGTGCATGTTTTCTTTTGATATAATGAAGACCAGCAAGAAATGCTCTTTTTTTAAAAATTTGCATAATGTTCATATTGAGAGTATTTGATGTAACGTCTGTTCATAAATGTTCTCGCTCTGTTTCCAGGTTATTTCTAGTGATCGAGTATGTGAACGGTGGGGATTTGATGTTTCATATGCAACGACAAAGGAAGCTCCCGGAAGAGCACGCAAGGTAAACCTCCAGATGTACGCCAGCTTCCAGGCATTATCCACATAAAATATGGTCCCTGTCCACAATGTGAGAATCTTTAGAGGGTACATGATGTTTAGGTGTACTCCCACATGTGCATTATGAACAGGTCGCATGTTTGAATGAAGACTGAGCAGCAGCTGATTCAGTCTGAGGTGGTAAATGAGGCCTCTGTGATAGCAGGATGACACTGAAGTGGGTACACTTGATTTTGGTTACACTGACATGACACAGAAAACCCATTTGTACAATTGTGAACAATTTTGGGGTAAACGACTTCCAGAAGGGTCAAACCATTGTATCTGCATCCCTGGAGCGGAGCAAGTTCAGGGACAGCATAACCTATATTTTCACGTAACCTCAGTTTACACGCAGGAAATCGTGAGGGCTGCTCTGACGATACAGCCATGTGTACGTGCAGCATTGGGCCGGTTCAACGCACGGCTGTGCAGAGCGGGCAGACTCATGTTCAGCTGTTTTTGTGAAAAGTGTTGTGAGTATTAGATGTCAGAGCCCTCAGGTAGCAGCTGCATGCCTGAACCACACCAGATCAGCGGTTTTCAGGACGGTCTACAGATTCATACTGGGTGTGTCTTCTTTTAAACACATATGTTTGAAGATATTCTTCATAGGATGCTTTAACAGGTCTCAACACTTTTACCCTCCTTTTAAAATATAATGAGCACCCATAATTCATTGTGGCTGTCTACTCGCGGGGCGCTCCAGCTGCGTCTCTGATAAATAGCGGATCAAAGGCTGTGTAATTTACAGAGGCACCGTTGGACCCCTATCAGCTCATGCAATCTGGATTGTGGAGGCAGTGGCTGTACATATGCAAAGCAGCATGTTAATTACTCATAATGATGGTACATATTCATGAGCAGCGCTCTTAGAGAGAGAGCCCTGCCACATTCCCCCACACCGTGGGGGAGGCGGGCTGGTGGGCAGGGGATTGTGCTGCTGATAGGCCATAGCTTCCATCAGTCTGATGGCAACAAAGAAACAACAGCGTACAATGGAGGCTGTCACCGTGAAAATGTGGGGGAGCGACGTGGGATTTCTCCACTGCAGTCTTTTGCCTCAGTGTTTCACAGATTTATAGCAGCAGACAGCGAGAGGCTTGTCAGGTTTAATGAAGGCTTATCTCCTAGAGACAGAATACACACAACCTACACATGGAGAGAAAACATTTGACTGACTCACCGAAGAAGCACTCCAAGTACATCTAATGATGGCCCAAACTACAAAGGCTTTATAGACTAGCTGTCATAACAATAGCCATAGTAGAAGAAGAAATGTTTGGCATGAGGAACATGGTCTCTTTAATGTCTGTTACTTTGTGTGGACCCAGGAGTCAAAGCGTATCAGAGTATTGCAGGTGCTTTGACACATGCTGACCTGTTAGGAGCCGTGGCCTCAGACAGGAGTGATGGTACTGACAGACCTCCGTCTGACAGGGAATAAACTACACCTGTGAAGTGGGCCTTCATGTACACACAGCTGGAGACACGGCCACTACACAGTGGCTTTGCTTTTGCATGAAACGCACACACACTTTGCAAATGTGACGCACAAATTCAGTTACGTCCCAGTCCAGGGTGTCCTCTCACCCAGTGACAGCTATCAGTAGTAAACAGTAGTGTTTACAAAGCCCACTGTAACATGGCTGGAGGTGTTATCGATGGCTTCTTTAGATTTCTAAGAACTCTGGCAGCAGCTGAGTAAATTATATGCAAGGAACGAGGACAGAGGCCACGTGGGGACGTCCTTCTCTGGGAACTGTAAACTGTACTTATCTGTCCCAGGCTATAGCCAGAGCTATAAAAAGCAGTTTTCATTAGTTCTATAAGACAAACAAAGAGTCCTGCAGCAGATGCTGAGTCCCACTGACGTGCACAGCTGTTGGGAGGACATGTCTTACATTTCTGCAGAGGTGAACACTGCCTGCTGCAGATTTGAACCTGCTGGTTGGTCTTTCAGCTTTTTAAAGTTTCAACCAAAACTAATGAGTGTTTGTGTCTTCAAGGCCAAATCTTCACAATTCCTACATTATAAGAAAAAAGGAGAACAATAAAAATCCCAACAACTAATCAGAAACAGGAAGAGAAACAGTCATTTAGTCAGGTTAGATATAGCACCGCAGGCATTAGTGCACTGAGGGCCGTTTTGCATTGACCTGGCCCCAAAACACACACAGGTTAGAAATCTAACAACCTTCCTGCTGCGTCTCTTATTTTTGTAAAGTAAATGTGTGGATGCTATCAGGCTTTGGAGAGCGTTTACATGCGCCCTCCAACCCCGTGGTTCACTTAAGTCTGTTCTTATGGCTGTAGCACGGGTAGCTTCTGTAAATGTAACACAAACGCTCGACAGCATCACAAGCAGATGCTGGAGAACGATTCTGAACGATTGAGACGAGTCACTCTTAGTCACGGTCTGTAAACATCGATTTGCGTTGTCACTAAATCCATGCAGCTGTGCAGGAAGGATTTGAACATGTTCTCATGTGCGAGTGGAAATGTTCACCTCTCATCTCGTTACAGATTCTATGCTGCTGAAATCTGCATCGCTTTGAACTTCCTACATGAAAAGGGCATCATCTACCGTGATCTGAAGCTGGACAACGTGCTCTTGGACCACGAGGGACACATCAAGCTCACAGACTACGGCATGTGCAAGGTAACAGAGTGCGGGCAGCTGTAGCATTATCAATAATGCATTAGGTCAGTATTGACTGGAAGGTCTAGCGCGCTCTTGTTGATCTCTCCAAACGCTGCTGTCTTCTACTTCTTAGGAGGGGATCAGACCAGGTGATACCACCAGTACTTTCTGTGGCACTCCAAACTACATAGCGCCTGAGATCCTGAGAGGAGAAGACTATGGTGAGTACAGGAGCAGTGTAAAGGGTTACACTTTGACAGTCCTACTAAATCAAGCCATTCACAGACCATTACAAACTAATATGTGCTGCCTAACAACATTTCATGTTATACATGTGAATGTGTTTAATTGGTCCAAATGTGCTCCTGTGCTACCTTATTAAGTAACATCATAAAAACATATATGTATGTATATGATACAGCAGTAACTCCTGCATGTGTGACATTTTCTGTGTGTCTTTAAATCTCTTTCTAACATTAGCCGTGTGTCAGCCTGTCCACACTGCAGTATGTCGTGTTGTGTGTCTGTACATGTGCGGAGCCATGTAGTGTACCAAACACCACAGAGACCTGACCTCTGTTCTCAGCCCTGGTTTGTAGCTTATTGATCACATGTCACATCCAGTCTGAATGTGATATCATGTTCCTCCCAGGCTTCAGCGTGGACTGGTGGGCTTTGGGCGTGCTGATGTTTGAGATGATGGCTGGAAGGTCCCCGTTCGACATCATCACTGACAATCCTGACATGAACACAGAGGAGTACCTCTTTCAGGGTGAGCCAGACCAATGATCAATACTGACTGTTAGACTCAAGCCTGTTGTTTAAGGAGATATCACTGATCATCATCAATAATGACTCAGTCTACAGATTACAGGGAGCTTTTACAGGTCGAGGAAATCTAATCTGCACTTTGGCTTTTTGAATTCTTTCGACTTAATGACTCCAAAATAAAAAAGGGCTGGGTGAGTTTGAATATTATAATATAGTGAAATGAACAGGATTGATGCCCTGCTGCAAACACGTGCACTGATGTGTGTGAACGACCCACACAGAGAGCCATTGTTGTGGTTCCAGCTCTCCTCTTATGTTCGCCGCTGTGTCGTAGCCCAGAGCCGGCTCTCTCCGTGGCTTCCTCCACTGACGCAGGCCGGAGACCACGCCCCTTACACAACGTGTGCAATCACACTGAGGCTACTGTAGAGGTTCATGAGCATGTTTGCTAACACGCTGTGTCATAATCAGGAGGTGTAAATCTGATGGACGGCGGTTACTTTTAAAGCGTCATGAAACAAAACGAGCGGGGGGTGCAGTTTTATCTGAAAATGAAGATCTCATCATCTGTTAGAAGAAAATGAGTAAGGTGCACATCCTGTTCATTGGTAAAAGTCAGGGCACACAAGAGCTTCCTCCTGTAGCTGCTCACAGTCATTTACAGTTTGACTCTTGAGTCTAAATCTGCAGCTTTTTGTTTTGACGTCCATTAAACTCCGTTCTAAATCATTTCTAACTGAAACTGTGTGGGGGAAGAAGATCTATATGTTTCTATCAAGCTGTGCTCAAACTGGCACTGGGTAACAAATCAAAACCAGTGCAGCACACACAAAACACCAAGAGAAGCTGCAGTCAGACATGTTTTCATGCAGTTTAGATACAAATGATAGAACTGCATTCATGTTAAAGTAATCTTCCATCCATCATAATCTTATTTACAGTGTTTCAGGTTGTGATTTTTATCTCTTAAAGAGGTGTTAGTTACTTCCCTCCGATGCTCACACCTGATTGCATTTCTCTTCCTATAAGGATAAGGATGCACAAATTCAGCCTTTCCAAGCGGAACAAAAGGATTAGCATTCAGAGAGCGACATTCTTCTATACATCACAGTGTCATCATCCAGCAGTGCAGTAAAGCTGTAGCAAACACACATTCCCGACAGAGTAAACAACAAGTTCTTTGCACGTTTTCAGATGTGTGGAATCTCATCTTTACCAAGATATGTGGTGTGTGTGTATTATAACTAATATAAAAATATATATTATATATATAGATATAGATATAGATATAGATAGATATATAGATATAGATATATATAGATATAGATATATATATATCTCACTACATTGTAAACCTGTTCCTCACACTGGTACCTGCTCACATTCTCAGCATCACGTTGCTGCTTTCACTCTTCTTCGTGGCCTGCAGCATGTTTGCCGTGCTCATTAGTAGAACTGAAGTACACACAATGACAGCACTCAGAATACCCACTGCTTGTTACTGAACTGTGCACAACTTAAACTTTGGTGCGTAATGGAGCGATCCACAGTCAATCTGGTCATTAATCTTCGCATGCAGACAGAGCAGAGTGCTTCATCATGGTGGAGTTTTAGCAGATCTTTACAGTGTCCCAGATCTTAAACTCAGTGACAAGTAGAAGAAGTAGAAGTCAGCAGAAAATAACCTTGGTGTGATCACATGTTTATAATAGAGAAACCTCAGGAACTTCTACTTGCATGTGTTTCCTCGAGCCATATGGTCTCTTTACATAGCACGAAGCCACCCAGACTGTCCTCTGTGACAGAAATTCCTCCATACTACACATTGTGTCAAAGGAGCATAGTGCGGCACCACAGCTAGCATCTGTCACCGTCCTCCTGGCGGCCTTACCGGTACAGCAGCAGGTTCCTGGATCAATGCCTGCCAATGGAAACTAACCCTTCACTATAGGAGCTCCCAGCCATATGCCGCCGAGCTAGACTGAGCCAGGCCTTACTCTGGGTATCTGTGCACCTCATGCTAACCCTGGAGCTTTAGATAGACACTCAGAAACATTTGATTCAGGAATCAGCCACAAGGCTGTATTCACAGCTAACATGTACAAGAACTGAATGTAATGGTTAAATCTAAACCTCAGACACGTGTAACGTAAAGCTTGCTCTTTACTTTTAAAGCTGAAGTGAAAACAAAATGGGCTAATACAGCAGACTATCTGTCTGTTAAAACTGGACAATAGCAGCCACCCCCCATGTCAGTTTGGCTCCAGCTGGCATTCATCAGCCGTCTCAACTCACTGTTTTGTAGCAATATCTGAAATTTCTTTAGTTGAACCAACGCAGACAACAGAGAGAATTTACTGGGCTTTGTCCTTTACACTGAAAGGAGGTGTCATGGTTTAAGACTGGCTTCAGAAAGACAACTGTGTATACCAACAGGATAGCAACTCTATATATATATATATATATATATATATATATATATATATATATATATATATATATATATATATATATATATATATAAATATTAATATTAGTGATAAATGATGTAGTTTACCTTCATGATACAGTTTCTGTCTGAAAAAACAAAACCAAGTAAACACGTCCATGTTTGAAGCAGGTCGGCTGCCAAGATTAAAAGATTATTAATATGTAAACACAGTGACAGAGATCAATCAGGCACAACATTATGAGCACTGACAGATGAGGTGAACAACACTGATTATCTCTCTGTTGTGGCTCTGATATGTTACTGGGAGCAATTGAACATTTTCCCAGAAGTTTGATTCTGTTCATCTGGACGTTCTCAGTGGGACAAACGTTTCCTCATCATCAGGTGACTTCTTCAGTCTCAGCTGACTGCAGCTTTCCAGCCTTATAAACAGCACATTTGCACAATGACTGAAACCAGCCCACTGATTAACAATGGGCTGGGAGGTCAGTTTATGATCATTAATATGCAAATTGATCAAAGCCCACTGATCAATGTCCATGAGTCCCATTCACACAGAGTTGGGGAATGGCTGCAGTCACAGCATTGTAAGATGGTGACAGATGTACCCCTCCCCGATTCAGAGATGGTCTTTCCCTTTTCATGTAATTGGCCTCCTTCTTAAAAAATGACATAAACCAGAAATGTTTATTGTTGGTAACATTTATAATTCTTTCTAGTTATTCAACAAATCATGAAAAGGTCAGCACCAGCAATTATTTGATTTTGCTGACATGTTTTGTTTGTCTTAGCTCCGTGGTTGCCAGGGAGACCACGAGCTGGTTTACTCCTAGTGTCGTTTCCAAGCCTCGATAAATATGGAGGGTTGCATCAGGCAGGGCACCCTGCCAAAGCAAACACGTCTGCCATCAGAAATGACATTTGCATCCCTGGATTAAAGAGTGCCGTTGATGCTGTTGGCCAGCAGTGTGCCAGTGGGTAGGTGCTACTATTGGCTTTGAATGCTCGGCACACTGATACCCATGTTGACTTTGGTGAAATGGCCCAATCAGGTCCATGCTAATTTGCTCAGATGGACCCTCCACCTGTAAAGGCTGCAGTGGCATTCAGGTCAGGATGCTCACAACGACCCCTGAATGTGCAGCCAATGAAACTGGCCCGTTATTCTTGCCAAGGTTTTGTCATTAACGTTGGCATAATGATTGCGTTGTAATGAGTTTTCCCACTAGCAACTGGGAGTTCTCCTCTCTCTAAGTGTCATGACTCACCTGATACTACCTGTCTGATTGTTTCTACTACAGCTGACCATCAACTTTAATCACCTGGTCAAAGGCACAGCACCACACAGCAGTATCAGATAAATAAGACTTTATTTAATAGATGCACAACAGGACAACTTTCATTTCTCACATCAGATCTGCAGTTCAGAGCATCAGCACATCTCAAGGTCAACTTTACTGTCAGTTCTGTAATATCTACACAGGATAAGCTCCTTAAAGGCTCTGCTGTTGTGATTCTGTGCTGCATAAATAAAACTTGAGTTAAGTGGAACATCGAGCTAGTAAAATACCCGTCTTTCTAGTCACAAAACACATCTCTCCTCTTTTTGTGTTTGCCTTGTCCTGGGTGCAGATGTCTTTTGGGTTTAAGAGAAACTGGATCTCAGACGGTGAGTGTTCACGCACACTGGTTTAAAATAATAATAAAATGGGTGAATAGCATGTTTAAAAAGGAGCTGTGATGCAGTTCTTCATCTCTGGATTTGGGTTTTGAGGGAGAAACTGTTTTTACTGCATTTTGTTCTTGTTAGCTGTGGGAGTCTCAAGGCTATTAGTAGACCACAAAAAGTGTGAGAGAGAGAATAGAACAGTGTCCTCTGCATCTCCGCCCTTTCTCTGCCTCCCACGCAGCAGACACAGTCACCCACAGGCAGGTTGGACTGTGAATCATTCTCCCTCCTCACGATTGTCCTTTTAATTCACTCGCTCTCTCTTTTGTTGCCATCCTTCTTTTTGCCAACAGTTATTCTCGAGAAGCCCATTCGGATCCCAAGGTCTCTGTCGGTGAAAGCTGCCGGCGTGCTCAAGGGCTTTCTAAACAAGGTGAGACAGTCCCTCCCATAAGCACCCTCTCCTCCTGCGTGCACTCTGCTGCTCACTGTGTGGGATTATGGCCCAGAGCATGGGCTATGTTACAATGTAGGCCTCAGTGTTTAGTTCTGAGTGGACAGTTGTGCCTCTGTTATGTTAGTATTTACACAGTACAACTCAGTTACCCAACAAAGGATATGTGGTAATCCACTCGAGGGTTTCTTGGCACCGGGGTCAGGACCGTGCTGGATCACTCGACTTGGAAGAACAACAACACAGACTGCTACTCCTGGCAGACTGGTTGTTTCTTATCATTGAAAGTGGACGATAAAGAGCATGAAAGTGACACAGTAATCAGATTACTGCTGGGATAAGCAGAACTTTCTCACATGTAACACTGACAGGAACTAGTCCACCTCAGACCCACTCTGATGAGGGAAACTTCCAGCATGATTTCATTTAGAGAGCTGCCTCCACAGAAGCAGCACACACGATAACAGTGAAAGCACCAAAATACAAGCTGAACTATTCACACGACGTCATTGGACCAGGCCGCTGCTGCTGCTTAAAGGCAGGCACCTCTGTCAGGCCAAGAAAACTTTAGTCCATGTGTGAAACTGAATCTAGTGACCTAATTTCACATGCTTTTTAAGAACAGCATCATGTCTGTGCACTAAGTACAAGGCTAAAGCCAGGAGTGAAAGCAGGCACACCACAGACCCAGTGGCAGTCTGGCCTGAGGCTGACACATAGTGACAGACAGTCACGCTCACATTCACACCTGCAGGCAATTTAGAATCTCCCATTAACCTTTTCCTTTTAGCCAGAGCACCCAGCAGCAGCACGTGCAACCTCCACGCAGGAAAGAAGGCCTCGGATAAAACCACAGCTGTTTCAGCACAGCTTTACCTTATTTAATAAGTTAAATAACTGCAGCAGGGTCTTATATATTAACATGGATACAGGAATTTGTCTGTTTTTTTTAAAGAAGTGATATTTAAAATGATTGTGTTAGCAGAGTGTGCTAGTTCACAATGGAAAATTCAATTCAGTTTTATTTATACAGCATCAAATTGCAACAACAGTTGCCTTACTTTATATTGTAAGGTAGAACCTACAATAATACACACAGAGAAAAACCCAACAATCACATGACCCCCTATGAGCAAGCACTTTGGTGACAGTAGGAAGGAAAAACTCCTTTTTAACAGGAAGAAACCTCCGGCAGAACCAGGCTCAGGAAGGGGCGGGGCCATCTGCTACGATTGGTTGGAGTGAGAGAAGGAAGACAGGATGAAGGCATGCTGTGGAAGAGAGACAGATTAATAACAAGCATGATTCAGTCCACGGTAAACTGGTCAAGCATAACCCTGGATGACCATGCTTTATAAATGCAGACCATTCATCATCTACTCTGTATAAAAGCTCATCTGAGAGCCATGTTGTTACTCGGTTTATTTTGACATATTTGACCATCTTTGATAAAAGCTAATTCTCTTGTGACCAGAGTCAGGGGTGTACACACCAATCAGCTGAAGAACCAGGTGCTCCACTGCAAACGTCCAGACGAGATCCCTACTCAGCACTTATTGTTTGAACCTGAGATGCTTTGGTTGCAGTGATGCAGAATAGCAGAAATAAATGTGTTGTAAGCACATGAAACTTTCATTTGGTACAAGCAGCACTGTGGACTACAAGTAAGAGTTGATGACTGTAGTTTCCCCCTCTGCTGTGATTGGATAGCTGGATAAAAAGTGTCCGTGATGGATGCATCACTTTACTGTGGGATATTTAGACAACGAGAAAAACCACGTGCACAGGAGGCAAAGGTGTCTTTGGTTAAAGACCAGGTTACAGAACAATGACCGTTACTGCATTTGAGCCTGTGGTTTAATTTTTCCACGTCCTGTTTAAACCTCTGTATGTCACCTGCATGATTGTTGTGATGAGCAGAGCACAGGGAGGCTGTGCCACATGTACACATACCTTTGTAGTACTTAATGAAATTCTTGTTGTTGTCCTCAAGACAGTCATTTCATGTATAGTTCAACATTTGAATGATAATAAAACATAATAATTGGTCTTTTTCATCACGCTCCTGGCTGTTCTTACAGTATGTGTACTACAGCAACTTCTGTTGATGTTCCTGACCAGCTGTTTTGGCTCCAACAGGATCCCAAGGAGCGGCTGGGTTGTCAGGTCCAGACAGGCTTCACAGACATCAAGTCCCACACGTTTTTCCGCAGTATAGACTGGGAACAGGTAAGAACTGAAGTCTGAGTGAAAACGCATCGTTGTGTATTAAAGTTATTTCATCTTAAACACAACATACACACTGCAGTCTCACTATGATTTCCAAATGCATGGGCTTGGAAAGGAGCAGTAAGGGAACAAATCTACTCGGTTACTGCAGTCTTCTATTAAATCACCTGCTACGGCTATCATCAGCATTTTTAACTGATTTTACATAAAGTCATTGTATGCAGCTCTTGGACAACGGCTGGTAAAGATGTTTTTACTGGTTTGCAGCTTGTCTCACTCTCTGCCTTTGGTTTCAGATCAGTTCCTGAGATGGTTAAGAAAACAGTTTTCTCAAGATCAATATAATCAATACTGTTCTTCCATCTCAGAGCTGTAATGTGAAATGTTATATAAAAGTACTACAGTCACCCAGCCACATGGAGGTGACAAGCCAGTGTACTCCGAGTGCCAAGGTCTGATGATATGGGACCGTGAAGAATGAGATTCCCTTACCGGATCATTTGGGATCCAAGTTAACAACAACTGTGTGTGGTGCTGGGAGAAGCATGGACGTAAGGATAGCGACTGTGTCACACAGACACGACCATGACTTGTTGAGTGTTGTTAGTGTGTGTGCACAAGCTCAGCGTCAGAAGAGAAAGAGGAATACTGGGGTGGATGAAACGGTGGAGAGAGGTGATTTAAGCAACCAACTATAAGCACTATATAAAACTGACTTGAATTGATTGGAGCAGACTTCAGTGGACACCCCCAAACAATCACAGCAGATGGCCCCGCCCCTCCCTGAGCCTGATTCTGCCGGAGGTTTCTTCCTGTTAAAAGGGAGTTTTTCCTTCCCACTGTCACTAAAGTGCTTGCTCATAGGGGGTCATATGATTGTTGGGTTTTTTCTCTGTATGTGTTATTGTACGATCTACTGTACAATATAAAGCACCTCGAGGCGACTGTTGTTGTGATTTGGCGCTGTGTAAATAAAATAGAATAGAATTACATGTATGTGAAGGAAACAGAGGTGATGAGGAGGTTTCTGCTTGTGGAGAGAAATGGAGACAGACAGATGATAGTAGACAAAAAGGACAGAAACAGCTGCAGTAAACACACATTTGAAGAAGAGGGGGAACAATAAATGACTTATAAGGGTGGAGGAAGGTGCACACAGGTAGACTGTATCTTATGTTGAAAGTGCATTAAGAAAGAGATGTGAGACTGCAAGGAGCAAATCTTCTTAGGCAGCAGTGAACAGTCTGTAGGATGAAACCAAGAAGAGGAATAACAAGTGAAGATAAAGCCAATGATTAAATGATGGAAGCTGAAGAAGGAAAACTGGAGACAGGCTCAGAGTGGTAAGAAAATATTATGTATATTTGAAATGGTTAGGAAAACTGCTAAGAAGGTGTTTGGTGTATGTGGAGGAAAGAGGACAAGCAGAAGGAAGTATAAGTATTCAAAGGACGAGGTTAGCAAAGGAAAAGTGGAAAAGTCAGGAAGATCAAAATAAACAAGAGACCAGGCGAACAGCAAACAGCTGGCAAAAGGAAAAAGACTTACAGACAGGAGACAGTGGACTGTACCATACCACAGCACTTTATCCAGCACTTATAAAAACAAAGCCAATGAATGGAGACAGGTGGTTGGTCCAGGTGAAGCACCTGTGGAGAAAGAGCAGCTCCTTTGACAGGATTGTTTAACATAAGCCTGCAGTCAGAGGAGGCTCGAGCAGTGGAGGAGCGAGTGGTGGTTCTGATCAACAAGGATGATGTGCAGAGTCATACCATAAAGGTGTGGGGAAAGAGCTGTTTCAGTGAGCTTAGGAAGAGAGGTGATGGCTGTGTGCTAACAAACAGAACTACACATGTAATGTCTGCAGATTTCTTCACAGCTATGTTTCCCCGTCCCCCCACCTCCGTCTCAGACCCACGCTTCCTCTTCTCCACTGTTCTCAGGAGGGTAATTACACTTTTCTGTTGTCTTAATTTGAGGTTTAACAAACATCTACTATGAAAATGGTGATTTCAGGGAGTGTCCACGCGGGGCTCGAGATAGGAATGGTGTTGCACAATAACTGGGATTCAAATAGAAGCATTCTGTTTGTGGCTACTCTCATAACTCTGATGAAAATTACATGTGTGCACTTTATACATACTATTAGAAGACATGATACCTGGAGTAGTGAGACGTGAACTACCCCGGAGGCTCGATGTCGGAGGCTCGATGTCGGAGGCCCTTACCATGCAGACTGGAGGCTGACGGTTTTCAGCGGTTTCATTGGATGATACATGATACACGTGGATGCTGAGGATAGTCTCCAAACAGCAAACACAGCTGTGTTGTCAGTTTCACGATGGTGCATATGGAAATGTTGATCTCTAAGTATCACATTAAAAAAAACTATGTATCAGGATATGTTTTAAACTTTTTAAAGTCTTAGTGTGTCTGTGTGCACACCAAGGACACAGTGGGTGATGTGTGGAAGCAGAGCTCCTGAGCCGAGTCCACACAGAGCAGAGAGACAGCGAGCTGAGCGAGCTGGAGAGGTAACGCTCTCTGCCCTCAGACCTGTCTCAGGACCTGACAGGCGTGGTGTACCACCACTGTGTTACCACATATTAATATTCATCACATGTTTCCTGAGGGAAGTTTTCTCTCTGTAACACGTCCGTTCTCCACAGTTCTTTTATTTTAGTCCAAGGCCAAATGTGAAGTTAGAAGTAGTGAGCAGCAAAGGCTGTCACGAGACCCAGGTAGGTGCCCAGCTACTGCTGTCACAGCTCCTCCCACATTTCAAAGGTTCGATGAAACACAGAGGGTCTCACAGCCGTGGGGTCCCTTTGTCTCCAGCTGTGGACCAACAATGCAGGACGTTTCTTTGTGGGACGTTCACTGATAAAAAAACAAACCAACAGTAAATGAATGGTGACTGGCCTCCCTGATGTTGTCCTTCTTGTTTTGGAGAATGATGGAGAGGCTGAGAGCAGCACTCAGACAGCGAGCGTGGCACACCGTCATTTTACACGTGTGAGAGAGACATGTGTGACAGCTCGTCACTGACACTAACGCCTGCACACACACACACACGGTCAGTGTTGTGATCTCAGGCACCTGCACAGCCCTGACATTCACTGACCTCTTTTATCTTCCACTGTGGTCTCAGGGACACTTTTCCCCACACTTTCAACATGGTGTTTCAGGACCTCACAGTGTCTCTGTCTGTGTGGTGTGTGTGTGTGTCTGTGTGTGTGTGTGTGTGTGTGTGTGTGTGTGTGTGTGTGTGTGTGTGTGGGCTCACTCCAGGCTTTCACTTCATTACCAACACACAGTGATTAAGCCTGCCCAGCAACACATCAGAAAGAGTGGGGAAAGTAGGAGGAGAGAGGAGAGCAGTGTAACAAGATAAAAGAATGGAGAATGAGTAAGAAAGATAGAGGCGAGAGGAGAAAGATGGAGACAGGATGTGAGGGGGTGAAACTGACAGAGTGTGTAGGTAGGCGCGGAAAACCTGAAAAAGAAATGAACAAATAGAGAGAGAGTGTGTGTGTGTGTGTGTGTGTGTGTGTGTGCGTGTGTGTGTGTTTGGGAGAATGTGGGCAAATTTGATGGATAGAAAAACATACAAAGTGAGTTATTTGGTGTTTATCTGTTTGAAGCTGAAAACACTTTGAACCAATAACATTAGAGAATGATCACACTAAAAACACACACACACACACAACCACACACACACACACACACACCACACACACACACCCCAGTAATCACAGCTAAGCACCACAGCTGGCTGGTTCCCAGGATTGACCCACCCTGTGATCAGGGCCAGGTTTTTGTGAGTCCAGGTCCTGAATGTAAGGCCTACAGACAGCTGCCTGTCACATCTGTAATGTCTGTAATGTTCTTCATCTGTAATGTTTTTCACACCACCTGGTGTGGAGAACATGCCCTCCACAGAGTTCCTATGATGGGAAACCGTTTGTTTGGCTCCTGTATCAGGTCATAAAGATGGTTTTTAATGCAGTAGAGGTGACAATAGACTCATTCTTGGAGAGGAGCTGCAGTTTACTGCAAGCTTTTGGAAGTCTGGATTTCACATGGTGTCAAATGTTAAACATCGAGACTCTCTTGTAGGTACATAACACCAGACACATTGTGTAAAAGTCTTGGATGATTCATCCTTTACAAGGAGCATCATCATCACTCAGACTCCTCCCACCAACACTAAGCCGGAACCATCTGAACAGTGGTAAGGCTCAATCAGCCCTCCTCGAACAGTCCACCTGCTCAGAGTTTTTCAACCACACCAACACAATTGACGCTCATCACCCTTCCTACACACCACATTTAGCTTCTGTGATTCTCTGTTTTAAATGAAATCCCAGTTGAAAGATCACCATTTTGACTCAGTGGAGGAGAACCAGTATGTGTCACTGATGACACAGTGGATAAAATGGAAATGTCTCCAGCAGCAGTGTCTCAGAACACAGATGCTGTGGGTTGTGCGTCCCCACTGATCCAGTGTAGACATTAAAATACTTTAAAATAAGAATACAACTTTTTTGGCAGAATAGCTGGAGCTCATGTTCACTGTGTGAAGCATGAGGCTGGGCACACACCTTGATCTATGACATCACGTAATATGGTCATTGTTTAATGTTCAACTATAAGAAAATGGTACCCGTGGTCTGGCACAGCCTCCAAATCCCAGATGGTCACATCCATTTTAGGGCTTCTTTTCACCCAGCTTTCTAAAGAGAAAACAGTGAAACGCAGCATGACGAGCGAAGCTGGGTACCTGTGGTTTTTCTGTGCCCGTCTGACTTCATTGTGTTCTTAGAAAATGTCCTCAGCGCACATTTGAACAGGATGAGGGACGAATGTGAAACCATGGAAACAAATCAGACAAAAACTCTGGCTGAATCACTCAGGCATAATTATTCTGCTGCCTCAACCTTCTTCGTTCTGTTGTTTGGCTTCATCGCTACACAGAAATACAGCAACACGAGCCCAAGCTTCACTGTTTCACATCTGGCCAAATGTTGGTGCCGATGTGTTAGAATGTTTGTGCTTTCACGTTACCTATTCAGTGACATCAGGCTATCACACACTGATGATTTTGATTCACACAGAATCACTTACTGGGTTTTGCTCTTTGCCTTGCTCCCTCCCTCCCTGCCTCCCCGGGACCAAGTGGACATGTCAGACCCTACCAGGGGCTGTTTCTCTGGATAACACAGCTCCCAGGATCAGAGGGGACACATAAACTCCTCCACTGTGGAAATGTGGGTGTGGGGGTGTCTACACTTGTGAAAATGTGCCTTTTTTATTTGACTTCATGGCTCCACTCTCAGTGAGTAAAAGCAACTGTTATATGTAATACACTCTGTTTGTTTTCACTCAGCTGGAGAAGAAAGAAGTGACGCCGCCCTTCAAACCTCAAATCTCTGATGAGTACGGCCTAGAAAACTTTGACACGCAGTTTACTAATGAACCAGTGCAGCTAACACCAGACGATGAGTAAGTACTGCTTTTCAGCTCAAACACAGCCTTCATTAAAGTCAAGCTTATGTGAATAAAGTTTCATGTGTGGAACTGCACGTCTGTCTTAACGTAAGCATGACTGTTGTTTTGTCAGTACATGATGATAACTCTTTACTGTGATCAGTTACTGCCATCATCAAGCACTCAGAAGAACTGTATGGAGGGTTCTCACAGATAACTCCATATTTTTGTTCTTAGACTCCCTTAGAGTAGCTTTGCATGATTCCCAGTTCAGAATAAGTCTTTGTTTTTCTTATACGGAGCATTCAGCGCTGTGTGCAGCAGTGAAAACATAATAATATCACAGCTTAAACAAAGGTTGTCCTGTGTCTTTGTGGATCATACCATATGATAGAGGGAGTAACATATGGTTCAAGGTGTGGGTGGGATTACATCGGGGTCGGCTCTGAGCTCCTCTAGTTTGCAGCAGCGATAGACAGCTAGTGAGGTCACAACTATCCATAGACACTGATGTTCCCAAAGGACAGTGGGATCTGCCAGAGCAGGGAGCAGGATCAATCCGATTCAATTCAGTTTTATTTATACAGCGCCAAATCACAACAACAGTCACCTCAAGGTGCTTTATGTTGTACAGTAGACCCTACAGTAATACATCAGTCATATGAGCAAACACTTTGATGAGGGTGGGAAGGCAGCTCTTTATGTCTTTAAGACATTCCTGCAGTTTAACTAATTGGTGTGTGTTATCTGGGTTCATAGATAGATAGAGCTGGGTGTCATCAGCATAGCAGTGAAAATTTATGCTATTTCTTCTAATGATACTGCCAAAGGGAAGCATGTATAATGTAAACAGAATGTGTCCTAGCACTGAACCCTGTGGAACACCATAATTAACCTCAGTGTGTGCAGAGGACTCTCCATTTACATGCACAAACTGGAGTCTATTAGATAGATCTGATACAAACCACTGCAGCGCAGTACATGTAATACCTACAGCATGTTCTAATCGCTCTAATACAGGTGGATGAGACCGTTGAGAGGTGGAGGTAAGATCTGGAGAGAGAGGAATGAAAATCAGCAGAATATGACAGAATAATGAGTGTGAATGAGACAGAGGCACGGGCAGCTACAAGGAGCAGAGAAGAGTTTAAATGCCTGTAGTCAACCATCCAACAACAGACAGAAGAAGAGTGTGCAGGCAGAGTGGAGTAGGTGCAGATGAGTATCATGGGTGATTTGTGAAAGCAAATATTCAGAAGATGGTAATGAGCTGGAGGTGGGAGAGATTCACTGGGATTGACCGGGATGGACAGGATTAGAAATGAAAGGAAGAGGAAAGATGTAAGTCCCAGGACTGCTGCTCCTGTGTTTCTCATACAGATGTGCAGCAGCCACTATAGAGGTGTTCAGTGGAGACAACAGTCCATCCTGTCCTGGTCACACAGAGCCTAAAAACAGAGCTCACTCTGTAACGTCACACAAACACTGGGTGGACCATCTTCCCAGCAGACTCCTGCATCCAATAAAGAATGCCCCCATGTGAGTTTCCAATGTTGGGGGGTTGTTTTGATTAATGCAAACATGCAGCTCCAGGATCTGAGTGAAGCCCTTGTTTAAGGCTGAACTTTGAAGAGAAAAGGCTTAAAGATATTACACAACCACGGACACACTGAAGGAACACATCATCCTGTTTTCCTCTCTGTGTCACTAAATAGATTCCATAAGGCTTTGGCAGCAGATCTATCCCAGCCAATGTTAGAAAACATCATGTTGGTTTGATTCTCGATGCTCCAAAACTTGAATTTCCCCTTCTGAGGATTTATGGAGCTTGTGATCATGATGGCAGGAACACAATGCCTTTATGGAACGGTTCACATAAGTCCGAGTTGATAATACAGACAGAGGTGTTACTGTCTGGCTGTGACAGTTACATGGTGGACTGACTAAAGGCTCTTACAGGATGGAGTAAGACGTTTGTGCAGCAACAAAAAGCCGAGGTCACCAAAACCAAAATATGACAGTGCAGTATTAAACAAAGTGTCACTGCAGAGTAGGAAACCCTGTCAGCACGTGTGATCGAGCCACACTTCAGTGGCCTTGGTGACTTGTTTCGTGCGTCGGTGTACACTGTGAACGGTTTTCCTGGAGCATGTGCACTGGTAGCATTGTTTCCCTCCTAACAGCACTGCTCTTCATTACTGTTTCCCTCCCCGTTTCCTGTTGGCATCTGTCTTTGTTTTATGTGAATAACATAATGACTATGTGCACTTTCTGAGCTTTATAAGCCTGCTGTTATTCAGCACAACTGTTGCTCAGGAGCAGAAGCCGAACCGATAATTAAATCCTTTAGGCACCTTTAAATAATGGGATCCCTGCTAGCATGACGACAGACTAAGAAGCCTTCTAAAATAATTGGATCTGGCACACTGCTGGACTGTGTAATTTTTGTTTGCATGGACATTCAATTTTCAATTCAATTTTATTTACACAGCACCAAATCACAACAGTTGCTTCAAGGAGCTTTATATTGTACAGTAGACCCTACAATACTACATACAGAGAAAACCCAACAATCACATGACCCCCTATGAGCAAGCACTTTGGCGACAGTAGGAAGGAAAAACTCCCTTTTAACAGGAAGAAACCTCCGGCAGAACCAGGCTCAGGGAGGGGTGGGGCCATCTGCTGCGACCGGTTGGGGTGAGAGAAGGAAGACAGGATAAAGACATGCTGTGGAAGAGAGACAGAGGTTAATAACAGATATGATTCAATGCAGAGAGGTCTAGTTAACTACATAGTGAGTGAAGAAGAAACACTCAATGCATCATGGGAATCCCCGGCAGCCTACGATCTATTGCAGCATAACTAAGAGGAGGATTCAGGGTCACCTGGTCCAGCCCTAACTATATGCTTTAGCAAAAAGGAAAGTTTAAGCCTAATCTTAAAAGTAGAGTACAGGGAGTGCAGAATTATTAGGCAAATGAGTATTTTGTCCACATCATCCTCTTCATGCATGTTGTCTTACTCCAAGCTGTATAGGCTCGAAAGCCTACTACCAATTAAGCATATTAGGTGATGTGCATCTCTGTAATGAGAAGGGGTGTGGTCTAATGACATCAACACCCTATATCAGGTGTGCATAATTATTAGGCAACGTCCTTTCCTTTGGCAAAATGGGTCAAAAGAAGGACTTGACAGGCTCAGAAAAGTCAAAAATAGTGAGATATCTTGCAGAGGGATGCAGCAGTCTCAAAATCTGCAAAGCTTCTGAAGCGTGATCATCGAACAATCAAGCGTTTCATTCAAAATAGTCAACAGGGTCGCAAGAAGCGTGTGGAAAAACCAAGGCGCAAAATAACTGCCCATGAACTGAGAAAAGTCAAGCGTGCAGCTGCCAAGATGCCACTTGCCACCAGTTTGGCCATATTTCAGAGCTGCAACATCACTGGAGTGCCCAAAAGCACAAGGTGTGCAATACTCAGAGACATGGCCAAGGTAAGAAAGGCTGAAAGACGACCACCACTGAACAAGACACACAAGCTGAAACGTCAAGACTGGGCCAAGAAATATCTCAAGACTGGTTTTTCTAAGGTTTTATGGACTGATGAAATGAGAGTGAGTCTTGATGGGCCAGATGGATGGGCCCGTGGCTGGATTGGTAAAGGGCAGAGAGCTCCAGTCCACTAGACGCCAGCAAGGTGGAGGTGGAGTACTGGTTTGGGCTGGTATCATCAAAGATGAGCTTGTGGGGCCTTTTCGGGTTGAGGATGGAGTCAAGCTCAACTCCCAGTCCTACTGCCAGTTTCTGGAAGACACCTTCTTCAAGCAGTGGTACAGGAAGAAGTCTGCATCCTTCAAGAAAAACATGATTTTCATGCAGGACAATGCTCCATCACACGCGTCCAAGTACTCCACAGCGTGGCTGGCAAGAAAGGGTATAAAAGAAGAAAAACTAATGACATGGCCTCCTTGTTCACCTGATCTGAACCCCATTGAGAACCTGTGGTCCATCATCAAATGTGAGATTTACAAGGAGGGAAAACAGTACACCTCTCTGAACAGTGTCTGGGAGGCTGTGGTTGCTGCTGCACGCAATGTTGATGGTGAACAGATCAAAACACTGACAGAATCCATGGATGGCAGGCTTTTGAGTGTCCTTGCAAAGAAAGGTGGCTATATTGGTCGCTGATTTGTTTTTGTTTTGTTTTTGAATGTCAGAAATGTATATTTGTGAATGTGGAGATGTTATATTGGTTTCACTGGTAAAAATAAATAATTGAAATGGGTATATATTTGTTTTTTGTTAAGTTGCCTAATAATTATGCACAGTAATAGTCACCTGCACACACAGATATCCCCCTAAAATAGCTAAAACTAAAAACAACTAACTACTTCCAAAAACATTCAGCTTTGATATTAATGAGTTTTTTGGGTTCATTGAGAACATGGTTGTTGTTCAATAATAAAATTATTCCTCAAAAATACAACTTGCCTAATAATTCTGCACTCCCTGTAGTCTGTCCTGAATCAAACTAGTCTGGTTCCACAGAAGAGGGGCCTGAAAACTGAAGGACATGTGGGTGTTGGTGGCGTGCTACACACAGCTGTTTTTTTTTTTTTGTTTTTTTTGGGGTGTTTTTGGTGTTTCAAAGTTGTAACATGCGTTAAACCGTGTTTAAGAACAATGCGTGCCCACTGCAGCACCACATAGCTCATGGTCCCTCCATATTTCATATACAGTTTATGTGGAATTCAGCTGAATTTTACAAAGTATGGCTGAAAAACCTCTAGATTGTGTAACTCCTGGAGCTGTCCGCCTGCCGGGGGTCTGTCTGTCATGGCTTGTGATAATCTGTACCTCCGCAGTGTCTTGACTTGGAATTCACTCCAAAATAAATGACGCCCTTCGTGCTGTCACTAATTGGTATTATCACTGCAGAGCTGTTGACTGTGCTGCACTTGGCGGCCTTATTACATGCCCGTCATGATCTGCACCCACGGCAGATGTCTTTGGG